GACACAGTTGGAAGTAAAGAACAAAGAGCTGAGCCTCCTCTTGGACAAGAAATCCGAGGAAAAGACACAGCTGAGCCTCCTCTTGGACAAGACATCCGAGGAAAAAACACAGCTGAGCCTCCTCTTGGACAAGACATCAGAGGAAAAGACACAGCTGAGCCTCCTCTTGGACAAGACATCTGACGAAAAGACACAGCTGAGCCTCCTCTTGGACAAGACTTCGGAGGAAAAGACACAGTTGGAAGTAAAGAACAAAGAGCTGAGCCTCCTTTTGGACAAGACATTAGAGGAAAAGACACAGCTGAGCCTCCTCTTGGACAAGACATCTGAGGAAAAGACACTGTTGGAAGTAAAGAACAAAGAGCTGAGCCTCCTCTTGGACAAGACATTAGAGGAAAAGACACAGCTGAACCTCCTCTTGGACAAGACATCCGAGGAAAAGACACAGCTGAGCCTCCTCTTGGACAAGACATCTGAGGAAAAGACACAGCTGAGCCTCCTCTTGGACAAGATATCCGAGGAAAAGACACAGTTGGAAGTAAAGAACAAAGAGCTGAGCCTCCTCTTGGACAAGACATCCGAGGAAATGACACAGCTGAGCCTCCTCTTGGACAAGACATCAGAGGAAAAGACACAGCTGAGTCTCCTCTTGGACAAGACATCAGAGGAAAAGACACAGCTGAGCCTCCTCTTGGACAAGACATCAGAGGAAAAGACACAACTGAGCCTACTCGTGGACAAGACATCCGAGGAAAAGACACAGTTGGAAGTAAAGAACAAAGAGCTGAGCCTCCTCTTGGACAAGACATCAGAGGAAAAGACACAGCTGAGTCTGCTTTTAAACAATGAACGGCAAACCTCCATCCAGCTTGAAGCAGATAATAAGCACCAGCGTTCAATCCTGTTCTCCAACAGGCTGTCCATCCTCTGGGGATTGTGCGACAAGAGCACACTTCAGTGTTCACGCTGCCTGCCTGGCTGGACCGAACATGCTTCACGCTGTTTCTTTTTGTCCCATGAACAAAAGAAATGGGAAGATGCTCGCAGGGAGTGTATCGGTGTTGGGGGTGACTTGGCCATTGTTTTGAATGCAGCAGACCAGGCATTCTTAACCAAAATGACATATGATTTCACTCAGCAGAACCCTCTAGTGACCTTCCATTCAGCGTGGATTGGGTTACAAGACATGGTGAAGGAGGGTGTCTTCTTCTGGACTACTGGCGGCACAGTCCGGTGGAACGTCAGGTACTGGAGACCTCAGGAGCCAAACAATGCCGTGGCCTCCTGGGACCATTACAAAATAGGACAGGACTGTGTTGGCATCGTCCCACCGAAGAAGGTTGGAGGGAAGGGCTGGTTGAACTCATGGGATGACATAGTTTGTGGCGGCCTGCGACACTACCTGTGTGAGACAGACGCTCTCATTTTGAACTGAAAGACAAGCCTGAGCGATGACAGGCTGGACTCTTCTCCAAGAATTGCATGTATATAATTGTATAAATAATATGTGCTGTTGTTTTTTCTCATTTGAACACGTCCACTAATATCCAATTTGTACAGTTGATTACTTATTATTACATTACAATTAATTACAATATATTTGATGATTTAAACTGGACCTGGTTTCCCTGTTTTTGCTTTCTGTTGTCAATGTTTGCATGCAGGTGAAGATGTTGAATGTACTGTACACATGCAGGACATGTCAGGAGAAACATGTTTACACTGGTATCAATTAGTTTTAAACAGGTGGAGGTGGTGGCAAAACTATCGGCTGTTTCTGTGCAGAGCTCACTGAAACATCAATGGGGGTTGAGTCTCCCTCACTCGTCTGTTTTGTCTTGTTACATCTGTAATGCGTGATAGGCACTGATGTTGGGAAGGCGTGCAAGAATAGAATAGAATAGAATAGAATAGAATACCTTTATTGTCACCATACACATGCACGATGAGATTAAAAAGCCAACTCCAATAGCAGTGCAAAAAAAGGACGCAGAATAAATATAATAATCAATAAATCTCCTCACATGCATTGAAAGAAAAGTAACAAGCCTGTTTTGAACATGTACGGAGTAGAAAGTACGGATATTTGTGTAAAAATGTAGGGGTTAAAACAAAAAAACAAAAAAAGTACTATAAACAAACAAGTACTTGAAAGAAGAAACTTAAAAATGCCACTTAAGTACAGTAACAAAGTATTTGTACTTCTATACTTAGTAATGGTTGCAGCCTATTAAAGGGTGACATAAAGGGTGGTTTAATAAGTAGACCGAAAACAAACATCAGACACATATTATTGTTCCAAGTGGGAAGAAAACTAAATTAAATTGTTTGTTTTTTTTAAAGTTTAGATTATTATTTAAGATATAAACTTAAAAAAATAAATCTCACAGGATAATGGCACAGTGAAAACAAGCTATATGTCACAGAGCCTTCACTCTCTGCTTCATCCTGCATTAGAAAAGCATGCAGTTAAAACAACAAAAGCTAATCGAACAATAAGAAGAAAACCCTGAATATGTAAAAAAAAAAAGTATGTATAATTGTTTAAAAATGTCATAGAAATCTTTGATTTTACACAAAGTTGTACAGTTTATTAGTTGTTAAGATGTTCCTTTATTGATCCTTTATTGAAATTCAAATTAGACACAGCAGCATAGGGGAATGTAGTGCAAAGAGTACAGAAGTGTACAATAAATTGTTATGCAGTACATATAATATGAAATATGTGTAAGGAAGAAGGCCAGTGTCAGTGCCAGTATAAAACACATTGCCACAGCTCTCGAGATTGGATCTTCAGGAGAGATTAAATAGTGGTTCGCCCTCACAGTTGAAAAGGTTCAGGTATCCAGCTACATGGGACAACGCTGCCACCTGCTGTTGGAAATGTCTACCAGCAATGCACATCTACCACAACGGGATAAAACCCTATCTAAGTGTTCTAAGTAGTTTCTATTAATATTTTACAAGCAATAAATGCAATTGGAACAAAGCACAGGATAATAATGTGTTATGAATATACAAATTCAATGCATGTAATGTCCTAGGAAAGGGAAAAAAAACCTCCCAGAAGCTGTTTTTTGAGCTGTCGGTCATATCACAGGATGCCAAATAAAGTTTGTCCATTTCTAAACCTTTATATGCACCAGCAGAAACAACTGTGTGTTTGAAGTACACACATATTTTGGGAGGAATATCTTTTTATGTACATAAATATGACAAAAGTTCACAATGTATTTTGGGTTGTGAATAAGTTCAGTGAACACATGAGTATACTAAACCTTAAGATTCAGTAAAGTTTCTGCTTAATTCAATTCAAAGGAACTTTTCTATTAGAAATACACAATAGATAATAAAATAGAAAACTCTGGATACTTGTAGTTATAATATAAATACAAATAGGTTTGTTGTTGTTTCTCTTTTAGCTTGAAAAAATGTGATTAAAGTAAAATATACAATACTAAAGGAAAGATGAGAGTTTCTGGAGTAGCTTCATGTAATTTCTGACCCAAAATGTTGGTAATAGCAGGGCAACAAGTATATTATTATGTACTTTTATTTGCTTGCATGTATTTACCTTTGTTTTAAGTACTTTTTTAATGTGCCTTTTTATTTTCTATAATAATAATAATATAATAAAAATAGTAATAAAAAAACAAAAAAGTGCAGGTGTATACAGGTGATCCTTACTCTGCAGTCCAATGAACAGCCAGCAGAGGGAGCAGGAGAACCTTTCATAGCGTTGAGACATTCAAAACTGACGTCACCCCATATTGGTTCCTATGTCAGGATGGCCGAGCGGTCTAAGGCGCTGCGTTCAGGTCGCAGTCTCCCCTGGAGGCGTGGGTTCGAATCCCACTTCTGACATCACTTTTTTTTTTTTTTCTCATAGTGAGGAGGAAATATATGTCACTTTGTACACAGTCGCTTCAGAATGTGTTCACAACGTGTTTTACGCCTGATACACATTATGATTGCAATATAACTTTATTGTCCACAATATACAATTACCTCATAAACAAACAAATGAATAAATACACAAATACCTTAATAACTAACTAAATATAGTATAATATAAATAAGCTTAAAACGAAAATAGGACATGAAAAGAAATACCTTTTATTAATTAATTTATCATTCATTTATAGTACTGGATCATATTATTCTTACTGTAATGTTAGTATAACGATGGCATTTTTCCGAGGTGGTGTGTTTTTGTTTGTTTGTTTGTTTGGTTGTTTTCAAATTCAAAGGGTTTTACTGGCATGAACAAAAAAATGATTTTGCCAAAGCATATTGTTTACAATATTAGCACAATATTACACACATAATCTATTGATATTGATCCTTGAAGTGACGTCCTCGCAGTATTTATGTATATTTTATGACATATTTATGACATGTTGAGTGTGATGAAGTGAACGATGGTTGTTTATATCCATGATCAATTATATATATTTTATTCTTTTATTTTAGACTTTCTGCTCCCTGTTAGTCATTGAATCTTCATCCTAGCACATGAAATTGTTCCTCATCGGCCGTCACATTATAGGATTTTGCTTGTGAGTTAAATATTAACGGCCTTCTATTCGTCCATACGGTCATTCATTAAACTCAGAGTATCACCCCTCTGTCTTATCGAGACACATGAACATGCACATACAAAAACATCCACACCAAGAGGGCGTCAACAAGTCAATTATTATTTTTCTTTTTTGTTATTTTTGTCTCCCTCCTCCCACTGTTCAAACACATTAATGAGTCACTCAGGTGAGAGGCCTCTGAGAGCCATATGGGAGGTGCCACGGGGAGGTAGAGACAGCAAAAGAGGGAGAGACCAAAGCAGATAGAGAGACGGAGAGAGAGAGAGGGGGTGATGAAACACTCAGTTTGTGTGTGCGTGTGTGTGTGTGAGAGAGAGAGAGAGAGAGAGAGAGAGAGAGAGAGAGAGAGAGAGAGAGAGAGGGTAAGGTGTAGGGAGACTCACCACCATTAGACACCTGTCAGTGCAGGTGGAGAGAGGGACTGCTGGATATCTGAACCTGGAGATTTCACTGGATGGATCCTCTTTAACTCTTCTTTAACCATCAAGACTTTGTATATATGTGTTTTATTTATTATTCCTGCTTTGGACATAACTTAACTTTACTTTGAAGATTTGCTGCTACCACCAGTGGATGTAATCCCAACACTCAGGTGCTGTTTAAGGAGGGAAAACTGCTGGAGGAGGATTTATTTATTTGAAATTCTGAGACTGATTCTTCCTCCATTAAAGGAGTTTATCGTTGTGAGACACCCATCTTCAGCATAAGTTGCGTGATCATGGCAGACTTCCCGTCCAAGGTTGCCACGGAGACCAGCTCCCCCCACTCCCAGGGCTCTCAGCAGGGGGGCAACAGCCTCAGAGGGCTGGCTGCGAATGTCACCATTAGGATGGACATGTCCTTTATCCGAAGCATCCCGGCCATCCTCATGATGGCAGAAATAGTACGTAAACAGGCTCCGAGCTGTTCTGTTTTTACTCTGTTCACTACAAACTAATTTATATTCTGTTATCTCTGTTCTGCTGAAACCATTATGGATCAGATTACAGATTATTAAAGGATAAGGCTGGCCATATTCTGTATTTTTCTTACTGTCAGCATCCCAAGACAGGACTTCTTGTTCTTAAAACAAACTGGCCACAAATACCATAAAACTTCAGTTTATAGCCCAGGTTTTTATTTGCTTCAGTCACTGAACTCAACCTGCCTTTAATTGCTTTTGCACAAAAGTCTTGCTCAGCAAAGATGGAAAATACCTTCAAACTGTTTATTTAAACCTATATAAAGCTATAAAATTACATATTACGTATAAATTATGAATCATTAAGTTGATCATTTGATACTTTGGTGCACATGGTTGCTGTGAAATGAACAGAAGTTTTACAGAATAAGGTTACATTTTTTTAGAAAGGTTAAAAGATTTCCTTAAACAGCTGAGCACTAGTTTTTGGCAAACGTAACTCGGGGACTAGTTTCAGCAGCGGATTAATACACATTTGGTGATCTAGAATTTAGAGAAGCAGAATGGTGTGTGTGGGATCAACTCAAAATAAACTACAGTGCTTCAGAGTGGCTCACACATGTGTTTTTAGACATAATTGAGTTCTATGACACAGAGAAAGAAGATATATCAGGATTTGTCAGTATTTTATAGGGTCAATACATTATTGGTTTTGGTCTTTTTGTTGACAGTAAAATCTTATTTTTTTATTATTATTTCTCATCAGTTTTATCCTTTAACTCCTTGATAGTAGGCTAGTTTAGTTTGCACATATGAAGTTGTTGTGCTTTGATTTAATAGACACAGTAATGAACTACATAATACCTTTACTCTCCTCTAGAGTCTCCTCCTCTCCAAAACGAACTGATTATCTGATTAAAACCGCTAAAAACACTGAATAAAGCAGGTTCACCTCAAAAATCTGATGTCGTTTGACAGACAAAGGACGTCCCGGAGGGGCCGCGAGCCGAGCTGCTGCTAACTTTAGCTCAGCTTGTTTCTCTGATAACTTAAGATCCAGACGTCCGATGACTAAAATCCTTCATCCGGTTCAAATCTAGAGTTAAAAAACACCAAGATCTAAACAGTGGATGGTAAAACTCTGGCTTAAAACTGGATAAACAGTCAATGTATGACAACCACAAAGGGGATATGACAGGCGACCGGTGAAACACACCGTTATCTGAATAAAATGAAAATTTGAGTACACAACTCAACTACATATAGAACATAGGTCTAGTGTTTATAGACATTTTATTGCAGGAATGATACATAATGTTATAGCTTTAGAGTTAAAGGTAAACCATACTAAACGATAAGCTGTCCAAATAGCTGTGAGCATTGCAGCAGCTTCACATACAGATGTGTGTATACCTCCACTCTCTATCTGCTGCCACGGACATTTGAATATCAGTCAGTTTGTGCACCATAAATGCCACTGACAGTCTATCAACACCTGGTCAACGCCTCTGCACCAGATTAGTTACACGGTCCGGTGAAGAGCTGAAAATGACTGATTGATTGATTGAGTGTTTATGTATATGTGTGAGATAAAATTGGACAGGACCGTTTGTTATGGTCGAACGGAGTGCAGAGGCAATCAACTTCGGCTCAAAATCCCTTCTGTAGTGTATGTGCACTAAGCTCTGTCCACACAGCGGACATGTGACTGGCTGAATAACTGACAGGAACAGGAGATCTTTGTCCCCTGAAGGCCCCCGTCCCCTCCTGTCGCACCCAGTATTGATAAAAGTACACACATCCTTTACTCAAGTAGAAATAGGAAGTACTGATTCAACCTCTTTACTTTGTGAAATGTACTACTACGACATTTCTACCGTCTGTTTCTGTGCAAAGCTAACTGAAACTTCACATCGGGTCTCTTGTCAATTTCATCATCCTGTCTGACATACTTATACAAGACTGTGATATAAACCGGTCTTGATGTTGGGAAGGCGTGTAATGATACAAAACTGAATTAATAATTAATAATTCTCCTTAAATCCATTAAAACTATAAAATTACATATAAATTATGAATCATTAAGTTGATAATTTGATACGTTGGTGCTCTCGGTTGCTGTACAATGAACTGAAGGGTTGAACTGTGGAGAATCAAACTGATCTAACGATGTGCAGCATATGACAAAAGTTTAACATTTAAATGTGTGTATGCGATCTAAGATGGTGGGAAGGCGTGAAATTATACAAAACTAAATTAATAATTGTCCTTAAATGCATTAAAAATTATCCTTAAATGCATTAAAACTAAAGCAATGAGCCTGTTTCCAGAATATAAGTAGCAGAAGGTTCAGATGTTTGTGTTTAAAAATGTGAGGAGTAAAAGTAAAAAGTCAGAAAATAAACTCGAGAAAAGTACAGCTACCCAAAAAAAACTACTTCAGTACTGCAATGAAGTGTTTGTACCTACTTCCAACATCTGGTCACACCCCATTATTGCACTGAACCTATAGCCTAGTCCTAAAGGACAGATGGACAATGTTCATTCTGTATATGATCTGACTGTTAAACATTTGTCACATGTCCATAAGTTGCAATCTTTATTGGTTTTTGATGGTACTGTAGTAGTAGTAGTAGTAGGGCAGTTAGGTAGCAGTCAGCAGTAGTGTGACAATGTGGCAGGTAAGCCTTGAGGTAAGAATAAGGCAGAAGATTTACCCATTTATTGAACTCATTAAATTAAATTTATTTTAGTTATCTGAGGAAACTTTTCACATAGAGCAGGTCTAGACCGTCCTCCTTATAAAATGATTTATAGAGACACAGCAGTTCCCGGGAGACAACACTAGTAACAACTTTAACAGTAGAAATATGACAAATATTGATGACGATGATGATGACAGGAAGGATAACAACCATAATAATGATGATAATTAAAGCTACAGCAGTGACAAACAGGTGCTTGCAGTCTGCGTGCATGAGGCGTGCTGCGGTTGCGGGCCAACACATCATGTGTAGACCACACCGTGAAATGTTCATGTAAATCAGATGACTGAGTAAGACTGAATCTTTCCATGTAGATGTGTTCGGACCGGGATTCTTTACTCAAATGTGCAGTTTTGGGGCGAAACCTTGAAATTGGACGCCACGCCACGGACACACCGTTCAACGAAAACTCACAAATAGCGCAACCTTTGATTGTAAAGGTCTTTAGACGCCACTGACCTAATTTAAAGTCAATCTGATGAATTCAGTAGGAGCAGGTCATTGAAGTACAACACCTGAAAATATTCACAGTGGCTGACTTCCTGTTGCAAACAGCAACCTCGGCCTATAATGAGTGTGTGTGTGTGTGTGTGTGTAAACAGGCTTTCCTTACAAGTTTTTCCAGCGTGAGTACACCAGGAATATTAGTCTAACTTGTTTCTTCCCATATGTAAGGTACCCATACTGTAGCCCTCTCTACACTGCTTTTACATGATGGTCAGGTATTGTTAGTTGCCACAGTGACAGATGGGATTATAAATCATGTTTTAAAAGGCTTAGAGTTAAGATGTTCAAAGGTTAATAAGCTGTAAACTTTGGCTCACAATTATAAAACAGAGTACGTTTAAAGTAGGAGCAATAAACCGACACAGAATTAACGTTAGAACTGATTTTTAAAGAATGTTAAGCTCTACTTTTTTAGTAATATGATATTAATATACATGTTTTCATTGGTGTATAAAGGTCTTTCACCTTTTTTATGGCCAACGTAGTTTCTCCTCCACGTTTCACAGCCTGCTCTCATTCCCAGGTCGCGGAATCAGACGCGAGCAGTGTTCAGTTAGTTGCAATCTTCCAACTTCACCGCGAGATGCCATTAAATCCTACACACTGGTCCCTTTGTTTGATTTTGTGACCTTTAAGCCTTTAAGCCTGATCCTCAGAAACAGATTTCTAGGAGCCTGTGTGTGTGTGTGTGTGTGTGTGTGTGTGTGTGTGTGTGTGTGTGTGTGTTTGTGTGTTTTGCCATGCAGGCCTGCACTTAAGACAGAGTTGAGAATACAGTGAGATGTTTCCTAGAAGGATTATTGACGTCAAAATCCGTTGACCGCATCCCTAAATGTCACCTTATGTAACATCAAGATTTTCACTGAACCTCCAGAAAGTGTGTGTGTGTGTGTGTGTGTGTGTGTGTGTGTGTGTGTGTGTGTGTGTGTGTGTGTGTGTGTGTGTGTGTGTGCACGGGAACATAATTTACGCATATTCGAGCAACAACAATACAAAAATGGTAAAAAGGGGCAAAAAGGGAAGTACCAGAAAAGTTATTAAACATCTTTCCTTTCTACATCACTGCATTCATTAATCCGCAGTGTTAAAATAATAGAGAGGCTGGTTTCAAACTTCCACCTCCTTATTTAATATTGATAAATAACATGCACCATGCATACTGCATTATAAAACCCATCTGTTGTAGAGTGCATGAAAGATTCTTAAACCTACCCAAAATGCTAAAAATGTGACTTTTATTTCACCCACTGGCTAAAATATATAATATACATACTATTAAACATGTACTGGATAAGAACAAAGTTATGGATGAGATTTTACAGTCAGGAAGTTATGGTTATCTTCTGTTCCTCTAGTTCAGAACAGAAGTCTTTGTTAATGTTGGTGCTTTGTAAAGGTCAACACCTGTGTGTGTGTGTGTGTGTGTGTGTGTGTGTGTGTGTGTGTGTGTGTGTGTGTATCAGGTGTGTAAAAAGTGAAACCTGATCTCTGCATCCATAATAGGCTGACCTTTCTCGTGGGATAGAAACAGAGACACAACGACAAAGAGAGGAGGCTTGTGCGGTTTCTGTCCGGATGATGTTTTAAAGAACTTATATAGACGTGAATGTACTTCGAACCGGGTTCAGTGCAGCGGCGGTAGCTTCTCGGGCCCCAGCCCCGAATGTTTTCTCAAATGCCCCGAACCTGACTGGCAAACACATGGATAAAAAGTTCTGTCACAGGGGAAAGTATGGCTGTCTATTACAGTACTATATCGTGGATTCACATTCATTCTGTCAGTACAGTAGCAAAAATGAGCCTTTTTAGGTGGTAGAAAAGTTTTTGTTGTGTTCTGGTTTTATTGTGATGAAGACAGCTGGAGAATAATTAAGATACAAAAAAGGATGACTATACATCACTTTTTCCCTATCTAACTATCCTATCGTGTTTTTTCCCGACTGGCTTATAATATAGCGCATATAGCCGCTGCTAATGGGGGGGGAAAAATCCCTCTGGGTTTGTGCTAAGCCCCAAATATTTACGTCTGGCTCTGTCTCTGGTTTAAGCAAACAGTGAGAATGCTGTCACTCTCTTTATTTTACCTTGTTTATGGGAAATGTGTAAAAGAGGTCCACTACTATTGGTTGCCATAAAATTGGGTTCACACGTTCATGTTGTTGAGATGACTCGCCATTGATCTTTAAGCTGCACTCCTTGGTTGATCTGTCTCATTATCTCTCTCTCTCTCTCTCTTTCTCCTCTCTAGTTTCTGGGGATGCTCCAGTGGGCGTTGATAGCCAGCGCTCCCTACACGGCACTGCCGGCGTATGGCTGGGTGCTGTTTGTGGCCATCACCCTGTGGATCCTCACCACCATCCTCTTCTTCATGATCCTGTTCAGAGCCCAGCAAAAACTATCCGCTGTCCCCTGGCCCATGACGGTAGGGAGGGATGAGGGGAGGAGAGGAGGAGGGAAGGGAAACAAGGGTGGAAGTGGAATGAAAGAAAGGTTCTGAGACTTGTTTTGCTCGGAGTAGAAACTGCTTTCAGATGCCAGGGAAATTGTTTTTTTCCCAGAGTCTACACAACCAGAACAATGAGGCAGGGAGATTTCTTTATACCAGTAATTAAAGTGTTACGGTAATTCTCAAATTGCTGTTTATTCCAGGGATCAAATCTTTTATGTAGCACTGTCTGGCCTTGAAAAGCTGGTTTCAAATCTCAAGTATTTCTGTATCAACATTAATGACCACTTCTTTAAACCAGTGAGAAGATCACAGGCAGAAATCTGTCATGTGAAATCCCCAAAAACTCTTCTGATTCCTCCAGAAAATGTGTTTTCCAGCATTCACAACCTGAGTGCAACAGAGAAGCTCTGAGGAAAATGTGGCTAATGTTCCTCCTCTTTTCTTTCTAGGTGATGGCGTATCACGGCATAGCCACAGTCCTCTATCTGACCGCCTTCCTGGCCAACGCAGCATCTGTGCATCCCTACCGCTTCACCTATTTCTACGGACATATGGCAGCCGCCTCTGTAAGACGCCTGACACCACAAACGCTGACTCAGATACAAAGAAACTACTTAAATATGCATCTGAGATCACGCTCTGATAATGTGTCTGAACAGACACTCATATTTATTCAGTCAATGTTTGAACACTTTTCCCTCCCTCCTTCACTGTTTGGTTAGGAGTGTTCTCTATTAGTGTGTTTACTTATCGGGCTGGTGGAGGTACACACACAAACTTCAAAACCTGAAGATGTGACAGAGGCTGAGTAAGACGCAGGGCGAGGCCCTTTTTGTGGCTCACATGGCTTCGGAAGCAGGCCGTGTGATTGGTCAGTCCGGTTACCTTTGTACTGTTTACCGTTTACAGGAGTCAATGTTCAAATAGGAGACAGAGGGAAAGAGAGAGAGAGAGTTGGATGTAGGGCAGGAAATAGAAAGGTAATGTGTGTGTGTGCTTACCATTAGGGTGACCAGATCACAACAAACCAAATGTGGGACACAGAGTATGTTTGCGTGGGACAGTGTGGGACACGTTACCAATAATGAGAGCTAGTCTAATATTTTGATATAATGTCTATCTCACTCAGCTCGTAACTTCTCTAACCGTCGCCCTCTGGTTGATTCAGTCTCACACAATAGGACTGTTGAGGTTACAGGTTAGGCCTAGGTTAAGAAACTCCCACATTAAGTAAATACAGGATAAAATGAAGTTCCACATGTGGTGTTGTGCAATAGTTGCCAACTTACATCCCCAGAGTTGCAAATACTTGACTTTAGACTCCGGTACTGATTGAACTTCTTTACTCAAGTAAAAGTGGAAGAATACAGGTTCAACCAGCTGTTTCTGTGCAAAGCTGACGAATACTTCAGAAAGGGTTGAGTCTCCCCTTCTAGTCTGTTTGTTGTTACATCGCTTTTCGTCTGTGATGCGTGATATGTACTGGTCTTGATGTTGTGAAGGCGTGCAATGATGCCATTACTTCCCACCTCTGACTGTCACCCAGTTTTAAATAGTCTCCCAGTCTCCGTCGTAGCTGCATTTCCTTTTCTTTGTGGTACTTTTTCACCATATTTCGCCTAAATCAGCAGAGCTCGTGACTTTGTCGTGTTTCCCAATTTTGTCCGTTAAGGCCTAGTGAAGCAAAGACAGTGACAGTTTAAGCTACACTTGTGATGACATCCTTCCCTGCTTACTTCACAGCCACTGGATAAAAGAATAACTGTTAGTATGTCGCCTCTTGTCTCAATACGTGGGAGGTGGGACAGAAATTCTGTGGTCACTAGCCCGAGTATGCTGTTTGATAGTCTCTTCCACAGGCTGAAGTCCATGCTGGTTTACAGCTACGGTAGCATTTAGCACATGATTCCACACACACACACACACACACACACACACACACACACACACACACACACACACACGACCCTGGCCTCTGTCCAACCACAAACTCTTATCATTTTACTGCCTGTAGATTATTACCAGGGGTTATGGCCAATTAGGGCATTGTTAAAGAGATTAAATCCTAAGTACTTGGAATCTTTATAGATGTGAATTTATCTCTGATTCATGTCAGCTGTTGAAAATCTGAGACCTTTGCTTGGCTTCCTGAAGTCATTAAATCTCTCTCTCTTCCCCTTCTTCACTCCCTGTCAATGTCTCTCTCTCTCTCTCTCCCTCTCTGTCTGTTCAGTTCTTTGGTGCCGTGGTGACCGTGGCGTACGGAGCCAGTGCTTTCTTCTCCTATCTGGAGTGGAAGGGAGATGGAGGAAACGCTGCCACCAGCACAGTGCCGACCTAGGACTCAAACCTGTGGTGCCGATCCTGGGAAAACACTTGTGTTCTCTTTCCCTCAGTATACCGGGATATAGTCCGGTGTCGATGCTCAACTGTCCTCAGTGTCACGTGACCATCACTGCGGACCGTGGTAACCCAAATCCTGACCTTAGCTTAACCCCAGTATTAACAATACGTTCACACAGACATTATTTATACATAGTTTTCAGTGAAACTCAATAGACTTTGACCTTATGAAAATAAATTGTATCTCAGCATTTAATTGTCCACATAAAATGTGGCTGCCTATAAGTAATACATTTAATAATATTACCATTATAAATGCAAATATAAAGCCAACAATGCCTTAAATGCTTGGTAATAGCATGGGTGTATTTAATATACACATATGATGCCTCAGTATGCACTAAAGATATTTTGATAGTCCGGACTGTAGGATGAATATGAAGCTACTGGCAGCACAATGGAGACGAGGGGAATGCCTCAGTGGGAAGGTACAGTAACAAAACCCACCCTCCAGTACCTGTAAGACTCATTCATTAACACAGAAATGAGCCAGATTAACGTTAGTTCTTGGCCAGGAAGCAGTGATTTCCTGGAGTCTTCTCAGCCGATAAATAATCTGGCAGTTAATTGGCTGCTGGCTGTAAGCCTCATAGTCAACGTATACAGACACGAGAGCGGCATCCATCTTCACAGTTAACCCCCAGCGGATAAGCAAAGCACTGATTCAGTAACAATGATAGAGCACATTCCTTTATCTTACTTTCACTCCGTATTTTCCTCCTGGTCGTCCTCGGCCCACCAGCAGTGGCTCTGTATCCTGACAGTAGTAAATGAGACAGATCATCTGTGAACCTCTGGCTCCTCCTGGTGCTCCTAACAGCCACCTGGCCCCAAAAATAACAACCAATCAGAGCCAAGAAAGGTAGTGTCATTCCCACGTGGTCAAATATCAATGCTGGGATTGAGACAACAACAATCGACCATCTTCGAGTCACCAAGACCAAAACGTTTTTCCATCTTTCTCAGCCCTGATTGGTTGCTTTCGTTCGGGCCTGGTGGATTCTTGCATATCCCATTAGGAGCACTAGGAGGAGCCAGAGGAACCTGTCAGGATACAGTGAAGAAAAATGACCTGCTGCAGCTTTAAATAAGGTCGCAACAAAACAAAAAAATTTAATTGAACTGCAGAGTAAATGCAGTTATTTGTTCATATTCTGAATAACAGCAACAACATAGTATTAGCACATCTACTATACAGTGGGATCCATTATTGATGACATTTGTTTGGAAAAACTGCCTCAAAATATCAACATTATTCAGAACTGCTCTAAAGTCGTGTCCTCAGTGTGACTGTGCGGTTTGAGAGGGAGGAGGATCAAACACAGGAACTTACTCCAAACTTTGACAGCCTGACCAAAGACTTTGATTTTTAACATTTCTTCCAGTGTGGAGTAGCAACTAAAGCTGTGTCATCCAACAAGGAGAAACACACAGAAACATCATTATCGAACGTTCGTTTACGTTTTTTTTGTTTACAGATCGTGGTTGTTGTTGCACCGGTTAGACTGATGAGTACTGTATCAGGCCTGTATCACTAACTCCTGCATGAACAGGAAGGTGTGAAGAATTACTGTATGCATTGAATCTGTGTCCTGAACATCCAGGCTCCCGTAGAAACCCATTAATCCCCCATGGACCAAGCCAAAGCACTGATAATGAACTGAACAATTGACTGTTTTAATCCAACATTCTGCATTAATGACTCCTTTAATGATCCAAATATGGTTCCACTGGGGACTCACAGAGCTGTGGGAAAAGTCTGGAACATATTTCTTTGATTTATACGATACCAGTCCCTCCAAGAGTTCGGTGGCTTTTTGTCGCAGCCTAAAATGCCTCTTTACACACCAGCGTCGCAATGCAAGGTGTGATGGCAACAGTTGACGTAAAGTGAGCCAATACCCATGTGTTCTGTGCAACCCTGCAACCGCTGTTGAGCCATACGTCATCAAACTGCTAGCGAGGTTTTGCAATGTTTACCTTCTTCCGCAATGTCATGGCAAAATAAAATAAAAAGGTTTAAAACATCGCAACATGCACTGCAATTTTTAGACAGTCCCCCCCCCCAAAAAAAGCCCCCAAAATCCTGGAGGGACTGTGATACCGTGCTCCACTCTTGTTATACGTGCCTTTATGAAATTCGTTGCGTGTTTTTGTACCAAGAATTTGAATGCTAGTAAAATCCTGTGGTGTCTGCTGGGGTTCAAATAAAGCACTTGGTGTTTTCAATGTTTTTTTTTACCTGTTTATTTAAAAATACTTTTTTAAACTAACAAATCAACAGTATTTCACCAGTGACATAAATATACTTTTACATTTACAGCTGTCATGGTAAGACAAGTAGAAAACATTTTGACATTGTACTGAAAACTACACCGTGTAGGTCTTATTCCTAATTACAGACACACACACACACACACACACACACAATCAGTATATACACATTAAAAACCACTTTCACAGGCACAAAACTCACTCAGTTCTTTTCAAACTGGCCAAATAATTTAAAAATTCATGAAACATATATTAGTACTGCTATATTCTTTTCTTATTAAATTACATAGCAGGCAAAGAGAGCAGATTCAAACATATCTGCTCTCTTTATGGGGGGGTTATGGATGCCTTTCAACATAAGGACAAAGAGGATGAGTTTCCACTCCCCAACCAGGCTGAACTAATAAATGCTGAATCTTAATCAAATGTGTGAATAAGAGGAATAATCAGGATTAGGCCTCGCACCTACAAATTCCAGTTAAAGAAAAGCGGAATACTTCAAGTCCAGCACAGTGGTTGAGGAGTAACCAAATCCTTCACCACCTTCTAACAGGCCCTCAAACACACACAGCATCCCACCCACCACATTAAAAACACAGAAGAATGCATATATGAATCTGCCGTTTGTGCACAGACTGTAGATTTACGGGGAATGTAACCAGCAGCTCATCATCCGAGCACTCACAAAAAAACCACAGACAACTACTTTCTGAAGGCCCGTGGAGAACATTTTACATCAACATATGAAGGAGGAGGAGGAGGAGGCAATTCAAGTGTGTGAGTGTCACTGCGATCCAGTGGAGCCGGTGTGTTTGGAGCCCGCAGGGATCAGAGACGTGACCTTAATTCCTTGACTCAGGTCCACGCCTCGGCCCTCCTTCTCCTAGAAACAGATCCATACAACTGGTATTAAAGTAAAGCATAAATATACAATAATAAAGAGTTTACAGAATATGGTACCAACTGTCAGTGTGCCTACTATAATACAGGAATAGAAAATTAGAGTTGTTCCAATACCAATACCAGTATCAGAAAGTCTGTGCACCAGCTGCGGTCTACGGCAAATTACAATTTACTACAGTTTTCCTTTAACTGTAACATTAATGTAGCCACAGCCCATAAGTAACAGTTCAAATTAAGTTGAATTTATCTTAATTTACAGAAAATTCATCTTGTAGAAAGTGAAATTTGATCATTTTAATCATTTTATAGGCTGTATGCATGTACATATGACCCTCTATAATATTTCCACTCTGAGAATTCAGCTTTCAGCTCCGGAAAAAAACACAATCCAATTCACTGACTGGAAAACTAGGAAGCATGGGAATCCTGTTTAAGGGGCTCCAGCTCGCAGACCACTCACAGTTCTGTATAGCAGAAACATTTCCTTGAAGGCCATGAAGTCAGTGAACGACAGCAGCATGTCAAAGATGTCATCTGGCACCTCGTCTTTGTGCTGCCTGCAGATGGAAGAGCAACATCTCGGGTGAATCTCATCGTATTTTCAAAGTACTGCTGTGCCACCTAGTGGCCCGCTGCAGAATATAATGTGTGAGGAGCAACAGGCGACTGTATGGTTTCTCTCAATTACACCATTTATGTCACCAGTTGAATTAAAGCGAGGGGTTGCGGTGTCACATCTTACATGAGCAGCTCTGTGAAAGTGTTCATGCTGAAGCCGGGGATCCTCTCCATCAGCTGCTGCTCCAGGTATTTCTCCAGCAGGGCAACCTGTTATTATTACACACACCTGTCAGTAAACAGCCACCATATCTGACAGAGCTGTAGGTTCAAAAGATAGACACGGTCATATTCTTAGCCAGGGTCATTTAAATAAGATAACTGTACGTCGTGTTCCTTGAAGACAGGTACGGGAGCTACGTTAGATGACAGCCAGACACCCAGAAACTCACATATTCGTTAAAGATTGATGTGTAGCTGAGCTTGTTCTCCTCAGAGTCCTCAAACTCCAGGTAGTGTTTCTCCATGAAGCTTTGCTGAAGCTGCTGGAACTCGTCCTCTAAAAAGAGTGAAAGTATTGGACAAGTGGAAGATCATAGATCCTCATCATTAACCGATTAAACACTGAAGATTAAGGTCTTAAATTGGCTTAGCATACAAAATGTTTGTCTCCCTGATTTAATTTCCCTCAAGTCTACAAATCTTGGACTCAATTATCTTGTAGATCTCTGGTAGAGCAAAAAAAAAAAACAGGACTGACTGAACAGGTTGAAGCACTTAAAGAACCTAAATCCCAATTTTATTAATATAATATGACTCAGAAACCACAGAGGACTTCATTATCAGGGAGAAAGCTGCTTTTCCCCCACATTTGGTGGCTCTACTCTCTCTCTCTACAGAGCACAAAGACTGGCGACAATGTCTTCTCACTGTCAGGTTGCTGAAAAAGTAAAACAGACTGCTGTAAAGTACTGAAAAAAAAAAAAACCTCGCACCCATGATGACGCCCTCTATGCAGCCGACGGCGGCATCAAAAGCGGTGTCTGCAGCTGAGGAACTGGAGGGAGGAGAACAAGACAAAAAAGGTCACACCAAACTCATGAGAACTGTTATTATGTTCACAATCAGTCGAGCCACGGTGGGCGCGCTGCAGGACAATGTGCAGTAGATCACAGCTATGGATTCACTCTGCTTCCTTTAGGTGTGTACTCGGGTGGAGTCACGTCTCATTTGTAGGTTTGTTTTTTTTTTTATGTTTCTGTCGTTTACGGTGAATCAAAATATAAATAAATATGAGAGAATTTAACTGTTTTAACCTGGAGAAGTCCCAGAAAAAAGACCTGAACTCAAGTTATAATCACAGTCTTCTCCTCCTCCTCCTCTCCTGCTATGAGTTCACTGTTTCGGGTTCTTTGTACAGTTTTTAATTATTAATAATATGAACTATCTATTAAATATATATTAATATATATATATATCACCAGATCAGGGATGAGAGAAAGCCAGGGGTGGTTTTTTTTTGGGGGGGAGGAAGGAAATGATGATGATTGAAGGTTTTTAAAGAACCCACCTGGAGAAAGCAAAGTTTTCTTCGTCCATGTCAACCATTTCTACGATGTTCTCTCCACAGCTCGGGATACCTGGAGGAGGAAGAGGAGGAGGAGGGGAAGAGGAGGAAGAGGAGGAAGAAACAGCTGTGATTGCTTCAGTTTCTATAAACCGTCGTTAGCTGGCCTGTTAGCTCCACACAGCTACGGCTCGCGTTATTAAATGAAGATAAACTGCTCCTCTTCCTCAGCGCTTCCCTTTACGCCTCTACAGGAGCTGCGTTAGTGTTCGTTACAGTCATTTAATTTGACTTACTGCGCTCCTGGATGTCCATGTTGTTTCTCAATTGATCGTCAACGCGGATGGTGAAGGAGTGAACGTAACGTTGTTGCCAGGGAAACGGCGATCTTCCGTGTGCATTTAGGGTCCCCGTCCGGTGGAACAACCTCTGTGCACGTTGGTTCCTACCCGACTCAATGACATTGCACATAACACAGTTATTATAATAACAGAGTTAAAGAATAAAGTTGACATTAAAACAATATAAAATAACATAAAAACAAAACATATATATATATAATGTATGTTCTAACTTTATTCTATACTTTATACATGTATATCTGTTCAGTCATCATATTATATAAACATTATTATTATTATAAATATTATCATTATTTACTGTTATTAACAATAACAACCATCTTGCAACTACAACTCTTTGCACCTTACCTATTTATCTTTTTTTATCTTTTCTAAGTATTTTATTCTATTGTTGTATTTTATTGTATCTGGCTGCTATGACGGGCCCAATTTCCCTTCGGGGATTAATAAAGTCTGTCTATCTGTCTGTCTGTCTGTCTGTCTGTCTATCTATCTATCTATCTATCTATCTATCTATCTATCTATCTATCTGTCTATCTATCTATCTATCTATCTATCTATCTATCTATCTATCTATCTATCTATCTATCTATCTATCTTTATAGCTGTCTGCCTATATATCTATATATATATGTCCCACTGATTGTTCTTTGTGACAGACAGTGAAATATTTAGCAGCCAACACATTATTTCTTTCCCACCTTTTCCTTTAAACTGGAATTCAGGGATTCATTTTTCAAATTTTGGAAAGAATTCCTCCCCAATATTTTTATTGTTTGAGGATGTGTAAGTCTGTCTCTGCAGCTCCGTCCTCGCCAATGACCTGTCCTCTCTGGGCAGCCAGAGTTTGAGCATTAGTATCTAACATTACCTTGTGAATTAATGTCTAGATAGATTTAGATTTCACGTTTTGTTTGTTTAGAAAGGCGTTTCTAAAGAACTCAGAAAACACATGTCACACATACATTTATTACAAATATCACAATCCAGGAAACAACAATTCTTCAATCAATCACATCTTTGGGAACTCTGGGGCAAAATTCCTTTAAAGATGTTTTTTTAAATACAACTCACAATTTATTCTTTACAATCCTGAAATCCATCTCCAACCGTAGAGAGAACCGTATAATTTCTCTCACCTGCATGTATAAGGTGCATCAGGAAATAATGATAGCAAACAGTGACCAGACCAATCTTTTGTCATACTGAGAGATGCATGTTTTAGAAATCATTCCAGTATAGTCTGAATGATTTTTACAGATCCTGTTCATGCAATTTGGTGGAGCAGTAACTCTTTCCTAAACAATTTGACCAAAATAAATTCAAAATAAGTCAGTGTGATAATTTGAAATGTCTTTTTTTTTTTCCTCCTTTCTTTTAAAATTGTACAAATAGAATTTTCTCTTGAATCACAATTTCTCTTATGTTTTCATTTCGGTCAGCTGTTCCCAAAATACAAATATCAGTCAGTCAGTCAGCCCAGAGATGCTTCAAGTAAAGGATGGACAGAAGGACAGACAGACCCATGAGGTTCTTATAAAGACAGAAGGGAGAAAGATGTGGGAAAATGGCAAAAGGAGAGCAGAGGTATGTGCTCTATTATATAAAGCACAAAAGAGGGAAACCAAATTTGACTCAGTCCAACAAATTCTGTATGCAGGAAACCCCGGTAAGTGTGCTGAGATTTGTTGGAAGTGAAACATAAATACACATTTGTCTGGGGTACTGAAGCCCACACTGTTTAAGGTCATGTCATTGTGCTGTGGTTAGCGTCTTTTGCTAATGGATGTCAAGATGCCAACAACATCTAAAGAATGACTCTGGGATATTTAGTAAACTGATGAGAGGAAAAAAACCAAAAACGATTCACTTAAACATTTCACATTTGTTTTAAACGATTTACTGATCAGCTAAAACAACAATGTCAATCAACATAAACCTGTTGTACCTCTCAACCAAGTTTCCACATTTGTGTTTGCCATCATTTTACGATACAAAATTTAAATCACATCTTGTGGATTGAAAATAGTCGTCTTGATACAGACACACGCGCGTTTCTCCAAAAACAAACCCCCCCAAAAAAAGAAAAAAATTAAGACATATTCACTTTTTGCTGCCAAATTATTAGCAGCAATCGGGCAAATCTCAATATAAATTCAGAAAGTGGTGGTGGGAATTCAGTTGTACATAACCCCCACTTATAATTGGAGAAATTAAAAAAAAAAAAAAACATGATTTAATTTACAGACGAAACACTCTGTAAATTCTAATCCCTGTGTATTTATTTGTTGTGGTAGTTACATACATGACTGAGACTGAGGAAATATCAACATCTGAGCAAAGATGATAAATCACAAAAAGCAGCAGGGGTCAGCCGTGCTGTAAATCAATTAGTTCTAATACAGATTCAAGTATTTTGGGTTGTTTTTTTGTTTTTTTTAACCAGTTGTCTGTGTAACCCATGATTTGATTTTTAACATCTGCTTTTGTAAAACCAAATCAGAAAACTGAACTCTGGGAATAATTCTGAAACTTTTAAGCTGTCTGACACCAAGTTGGACCAAACGATAGGTACTGGTACAAGCTTGAGAAAAAGAGAATGAAAATGCTACCTCAAGATCACCATCATTTGCATTTCTATACCCAAAAACATGAGAGTGAGATACATCTCAGATTTATCTGTACCTTGGGTTTAATACTGTACTACAGGCTGTGTCCATTTCTGCTACCCAGCCCTTACAGATCTGCAGACATGTGCATGATGATGGTGATGGGATTAAATAGTAGTAGCCTCTGGGCTGAAAGCGCAGTGGGATCCTCATATCACAGAAAGGATGTCTGGTAACTCTACGCAGGGGCTTACAGATGAGAGGTTGGTTCTGTTTGTAATATGCTTAAATTGTTTCTGCTCCTCACTTCTGCTGTATGGAAAACAAACAGTTGGTAGAAAGTTGACAATTCTTGGCCCAGCTTCTGCAGTGAGTTGTCAGAAGGATACACAAGAGGAGATGTAGGTAAATGAGGGGAAAGATCCCAGGGATCCAGCTGTGGTTTTAAATTCACCTCCTCTCATCTCCTCTCTTTCCACCTCTCCTCTCATCTTCGCCTCCTCTTACCAGAAGTCACAGTTCTGGTATCATCGCAACATTGTGGTGCCGTCCTCGCAGCCCTGTTGGGTGAGAGGGGATTAGAGGAGGAGGTCTTAGGGCTTGTGTGTCTCTCCTTATTGGACGAGGGGCAGGAAGTGTGTCAGGAGACATGTGCAATGAGTCTGACGCGGGTCTGGATGTCCTGGCGGCACAGGGGGCACGTCTCTAACTGTAAGGCACACTCCATACACATACCACTGGAAGAAGACAGGGGAAAACAAAAGGACAATCTCATTATTGGTCTCAGATTCTCAAATCCTACAATCAGTCTGAATAGTTTGGCATTTTCTAGCATCGTCTGTTCACACCGGGTGCGCACATACCCATGTCCACAGGGCCGCAGCTCCGTGTCAGCCATGACGTCACAACACAGCGTGCAGCAGTTGTCTCGGATGCTAACCTGCTTTAGTAAGGCCAGACGCCGGTGTCTGGGAAACACACACAAAAGCAGATAAATTAGGGATACAGGATATGGATTTTTTTCCCGTTTCCTACCTGCTTCTCACGGTCACTACCGACAATGTATCTGACTGATTAGCTCTTTTTCTTACAAAAGTACACAAAATACATACTTTTTTTGCATTAAAATTTGAATAAATTACCACAATAGTAAAGTCTTGAATATAATATCTAAAGGTGGCATTAGAAGCCAATACATTGTTTTATTTCCAAATAATTCAGAAAGTCGCTTTTCATTGAACTTAAGCCTTATTCTAAAATGTGCCCATAACAGACCATTACATTATATGTGTTAATGTCTGTTTTTAGTTTAAAATGAATCTAAATTAATGTGTTAAATGTGACACCAAAATGGGGTGGCAGCTGGGGTGCCATGGCTGGCACTCTGGATCTGCCCCTGTCTGTTCGATCCAATACAAACAACCGTGAAATAATTCCCCTTTTTTTTAGATTAGAATTTCTGTTGACATTGCGTCAGAGGGGTGTTGATCCAACTGTGGCAATGTTCAAGGTTGTGTGGTTGCACGGGATTGCTGAGAGTTGAGTCAACAACCTTTTGACAAACTCAACAAAATCTGAACATTGTATGCTGTAAAGATGTTATTTATCACCGGACTGTAGACCCTTCAAACTCAGGTGGAATAAGTTACACAGGTGATTAATAGGCAATTTCACTGTCACAGTTTACTGGAAAACTTTAGTTAAACCGAGGCGTTACTAAGTGTCTGCCATTAGACAGGTCTGTTATATAGTACAACACAATACTGTAAAAGGTGAATAGCCCATACAGATATTTCTCTGTTCATATCCCTACATCTAACTGGCCTCAATAAAGTAATTTAACTGATCATTACATTTACAGAAACTCTGAAGAGCTAAATTAATGAGTGATGAAATTAGTCTTTGTACACTGGAGCAATCCCAAAAGATGAGTCATGTTTGGATTCTGAACGCTGTGTGCAAACAAATGACTCACTAGTCATAGGACAGTTGGGTAAGACAACAGTTTACATCCTGCTTTCCCCAAATTCCCAAAAGAATGCCGAGCAGCGCCACTGCCTCACCTGGGTAGGATGATCTTTTCACTGGGCATCAGTGAAGCAAAGTCGTTGAAGGTGCTGAACTTGACAGAAGGTGGGTGACGGAAAGGCTTGGCCCCAAAGTTAAACTCACACTGCTGGTATGACATAAAGCTGGCTGCTGCAAAGAAACCGGACCTGACAGACACAGAGGTGAAAGAAAGAAAAGGGTTTTATTTGAGAATAAAGGGACAGAAGAAAGAAGAGGGACAGAAAGAGGGCTGACCAAGCACTGACACTCGCGGTGGGTGACTGCGTGTGTGGACTTACGTGGCCGAGGAGAAGACTTGTTTCTCTGGCGGCAGCTGATGTCCGTTCAGATAGAAGATCATCTGCTTCTTGCTGAGGTCCAACAGGAAGCCAATGGCATCTCCTAAACGGGACAGACACGAACACACACGCAGCAGATTAAGTCTTGGCATGCTATTATTACTATTATCTGTCCGTGTGGGTGGTAAAGCAGAGCCTGAATGCTGGCGGTGGCAGCAGCAGCGTGTGGGTGCTAAAATTACAAAACACTCCAGAGACACTAAAAACAAATGAGTCTGACATTTAGAGTGAGGTGTTCCCTCTTTTCCTACTGTTCAATCTGACAACGACTTCAACATTTCTTTTGTGGATGTTTAAGAGTTTTTTGATTTGATTTTTGTGTCATGCACACAAAGCGTCCAACCCCTTATACGTATATAAGACACAATAAATACAGTTGCAGCAGTTAAACATTTAATTTTATTACTATACAGCTCAGTCTTGAACGAAATATTCTGCCTTCCCTCCCAAGCTTGGCAAATAAACTTCACAAAAAAAGAGTTCTCTTCCTGGAGCACAATTCCAGATTTTCCTAATCAACCAGCCAAAATAAATCCTAAATGGAGGATATTTTACCAGAAAGTACATCACTTATGTCCTATAGAAAGGGCAGCAAATCATAGATACTCTCAGTTTCACCTAGATCACGCAACGAACATAATCTACCCTCCTCTGGAGAGGCATTACAGAATTAAGAAATAGAAAAAAAGAATCATCATTGTGGGTGTAGTGCATACCCTCCTTCCAGCAGGGGTGAGCGTGAGGTTTACTGCGAGCGTTGTACCAGATGAGCTGCCTGCAGCCATCATACGCACATGAGTATTCATCGTCTCCTATCCCATAACCCTCCTGTAACGCAAAAACACATAAAAAAATAAATCAATAAATTGTGTGCCTGCAGAAAAACAGAACGTGGAAAAGCTTAACAGTAAAGACACGGAGGATGAGTACATGGTTGAGGAACTTGCTGTCCTTGGTGGCCCATCCGATTTGCATCACTCCTGACGTAATGACCGTCACCTCGTAGTACCAAACGCCTGAATCCACGCAGAATGTACAACGCACGCTCTCAAAGGATGAGGCATCACATCGTGCCTGAGGAAGGGAGCATGATAAATGTGAAAACCTGATCACATAGCATAATTCTGGGGCTATTCTCACAGACTATACACACAAACTAACCTCCAGTCCAGTGGGGGAGATCTTGAGGTACTCGCTGACGTCGTTGCTGTTGAGCATGGCGTTGATATTGGTGAGGTTGACCTTCTCGTAGGTGAACTGACGGCCTTCCTTTAGGACTGGACAGAGGGGGAAAAGAAGAAGAGGAAACATGATCACACACAGCTACTTAAAGAGCAGCAATGTCTGTTCAGCATGTGATCCTACGCAAACATTCAACACTGGAAGCACAGGAATACTCACACAGGTTGTCAAGGCTCCACTGCGAGCAGAATCCAACCTGCCTCTTCAGGTAGTCGGGCTGCTCTGCCCACGACTCCAGAACAGCGAGTCGCTTGCTGATACAAGACTCAGACACCGTCAGTTTATTCTCACCTGAGGGCAAGAAGGTGCACCAGGCATGTGTTTTAAAAAATAAATCTGTCAGAGATGCAGTGAAAGGGACTTCTGTAAGATGTTCAAAGGCTTATGTAGGAGAGGCAATGTGGGGAGTAAGTGTAAAGGCCAGTTCAAAATTCCCAACATATTATTTGAAAATACAGTAGATGAAAGTTGCAGCAGTTAAATCTAAGATGATGGAAGCAAATGGATGATGGTAAATCCCAAGAGTACAGAGTTTTAGTTTTGAGTATTAACAGATATTCAAATATTGGTTTGGAAATGAGATGTAGAAAGCAGAAGTTGAGACACTGAACATGCCTGTTGTCATTGCCCATCCCTCTAAGATAAGATCATTTTCACTCTCATTTTAGTATTCTTATGTAGGGACGTTAGAGGGTTTTCATCGTGAGTCTGGCCTTAAAACACAGAGAGTGAACCTACTGGTCTGGGAGAACTTCTCCAAAGCGATGAGGGCAAACAGCATGACAGTAGGGTGGGCCTCAGAGCTCTGGAGGGAGATTTACAGAAAAAAAGACCAAAATGAAATCGTCATCAGTTTACTTCCTTAAAAACAACAAACATTAGTGTTCATGCAAACACACAATAACAATTCACATGGTTACTGATTCACAGTAAGCATGCTTCCATGGAAAGAGGTTAGAAGAAACCAACTGACAGTTTCACTATGACTTCACATTATTGACTGTACAGCCAACATATGTGTGTGTGTGTGTGTGTGTGTGTGTGTGTGTGTGTGTGTGTGTGTGTGTGTGTGTGTGTGTGTGTGTGTGTGCGCTCACCAGACTCTCTAGAAGGTACTCAAGGGTTCCAGGGCTCAACAATCCAATACTGGCCGGACCTTAAAAAAGAAGAAGAAGAGAGACAGAAAGACAGAAAGAGAGAGAGACAGACAGACAGACAGAGAGAGACAGAGAGACAGACAGAGAGAGAGAGGCAGACAGAGAGAGACAGAAAGAGAGAGAGACAGAGAGAGACAGATAGACAGACAGACAGACAGACAGACAGACAGACAGACAGACAGACAGAAAGAGAGAGAGAGAGAGATGAGAATTAGAGAGAGAGCAACAGGAGGGAAACAAATTAGAGAACTGTTCCAGTACTGTCTTAAGATTCACTTTCTTAGACAATATAATGAAATTAATAGAAAACAAAACAATCTAATCAATAAACTTGCTTCACCTTCTCTCTCAGCTTTCACTCGCTATGTCTTAGTTTTTGGAATAGAAATAAATTGTGTTAATAGCAGGAGGAGAAAGTATTCCTGACTTTGAGAGTTGCTGCTTCTTGATTCCAACAGAGTCACAGAGCAAAACTAGTCTAACCTGAAAATCCAATTTATCACCAAACTGCACAAAAACAGCATCCATGACTACATCTTACTCTAGGTAAGTAGTATAAATAGTCAAACTAACACCAAACACCTAAGCCTGCCAACAGAAGCAACACTGCCGATTGCTGAAAGATTAAAATGATCCCGTGTGTAAATGTGGACTGTACCAGCCAGTTTCTCTGCCAGGCATCCCAGGACGGCTGTGGTGTTTCTGTGTTTAGCAGGGTTCAGGGCGTCCTGTCGTGCTACAGCCGAACTCAAACTCAACATGTCAGAGAGTTTCTGGAGAGCATCCTGGAGAGAGGAGACGGAGCAGTTAGACGATCACACGCACACACACACACACTTTCAACCAAACAATCCAAAGGTTGAAGAGGATGGAGAGATTTAGTATTACACTTTTGAGTTACAATGTTTTGTCTAAATTGTCCCAGTACGAGTATTTGCGATTGATAAACTAGCGTTCAATTCCCCCCCTCGCTCTGCCCCTCCTGTACGGTCTAGTATGGAAAGTCGCACATGTTCTGCAAAGAAACACAGAGACAGAGAGACATTCTCTGACGCGGACACGATATATTTGACAAGCGCAGACCAGATAAAGCAGTTAACACATTGCCGATGTCATTCTGTAACGCGCTGGTTTCGACCCTTTTTAATATGCTGCGTCATAGGAGCCTCTAACATGGAGCTAGAGAAACAGGAAGAGACAGAGTGGGCAAAGCCAGTGTGAGTGTGTGTGTGTGTGTCTGCAAAAACAGGTCAAGATATAAAGTCATAAAGTCAACGCAGGCAAAATACAGTGGTGAACACACACACGTAGACATTTCTAGCAGGGAAAGGGGGAAAAGACAGAGGTGGTTCTCTGGAGCAAGAGCCAGAGGAAGCACACCACATTAATTAAATTAAATTAAATTTAGACAGACAGTGTCACTGATGCACCAGAAACCAGGCTCAGCTCAGTATCATCCAACTGCTGATCTGCAGGGCCAGCACTTCCAACTTGCAGGTGGAGTCCAGCCTGTGCCACTTATAAGCAAGATGACGAGGAACAGCAGCAGCGTGCGGATATAAAAATGTTGATGTTGGCATCCACAGTCGAGAAAAAATATACTGCATTTATGAAACTTGCACCACATGCAGACAAGGAGGTGCTACAAGTTCATTTTATTTCGTAGCTGCTGTTTGTGTGTGTGTGTGTGTGTTTGAAGCTTTACATTTTATATTTTAAACCTTTAAGAATATGTTTTGTTAGGTGGCGCACATTTCTGTTGAATACTGGAAAGAGTAGAGTTCATACTGTTCAGAGTGTCACTATGTCCTCTGTCCTCAGGTTACTTTGGACAGTGAAGCAGGGGGTCCTAACCAGATTGTATTTGTTCAAAGGGGGGGAAAAAAGAGACGGGGTGGGAGAGAGAGAGAGGGCGGAAAGCAGAGGCCAAATGAAAACAATACAGTAGAATTGAAAGTTCTGTCTTTGAATTTGAAGAAGCCGATTATCTGAATATCTAGTTCTATAAAATATATATTTCTGTGTAACAAAATGTTCTACGTCCAATAATCATTTAATTGTATGCGATAAATACCACGATTAATATCAGGATAATATCATTTTTCATCTCACCAGTTTGAATCTTGACATATTTGTATCACGATTTAACTGTCTCACAAGATATCTTTATATTCCTGTTGAAACGACCAGATACACACACACACACACACACACACACACACACACACACACACACACACACACACACACACACACACACACACACACACACACACACACACACACTAACCTTGGTGGGCAGGGGACACTCGTCTAATAGAAGGGTGATCACTGCAGGGCCAAGCGGATCGTCCAATGGGATCACTCGAATAAGAGACTGGACAACCTCCAGCCAACCATCATCTGAGGGAGAAGAGAAGATTGATTTGAGACTCAGCTGATCAAATTCATCTGTCCATTCACTCTCGTTACAGATCCTACTACATACACACAAGACGACTCTGCCTGCATTAAGCAATAGAACAGAATATTCTACTTTTACCTGCTGTCTTAATACTAAATAATTCACATTAAACAGCAACAGATGGAGATATTTTTAGTAGCCACTGATGAAAAGAAAAATGTGAGCCAAGAATATTGTTTTGGAAAACCCTATTGATACTTTATATTTTCCACTATTTCACGTCTTCCATCCCAGCGGACAATGAGGTGAACGGACTCTCCGACGAGCAGATACAGGTCAGCTTCATTGGCGCACTGACTCCGTTGGTACATCTTACGATACTCTGTAATAACGATGCAATTCGTTCTGTGCCATCAACGTTCGATACCCAGCCCTATCCTGCAGACTGGATAATATTTTAGGCTCCCTTGTGTTGCTTATACTCTCCATTAGAATACATTTCTTCATGCAAAATACAGAAACTGCCATTGTTAGACCTAATAAAACCAGATAAATCAAAGATAATTGGACTGCTCTGAAATCCCCTTGCGTGACAGGGCCATGGATTATGAGCATAAGATGCAGCACAAATACTAAAACATCCATTTCCTGTCCATTAGATGACTCAGTAAGAAAGTCTCTCTCAGACTATCACTTATAAAAGCTCCAGCCAACTGGCTGATGAATAATGTAACATCACAACACATGTCAAACAGAAAACGACTGACTGGCTGACTGACTTGCTGCCTGGCCGCCTTCAGGGGGTTTCGGTGTCTGCAAGCTAATACCCAACTTGGCTGTTGTAAAATCACACAACACCACGCCACACGAGCATCAAACACCTTATGTGCATGACACAAGGTCCAAACAAGAACTCAAAGGCTACTGCGTGAGCACACTCACACACACACACACACACACAGCATGAGAGCATCATTCAACATATGCACAAAGAAAGCGCAAACACACACACAAACATCAACTGAAGCCGAAAAACAATCAGACCTGTCAGTTACTGTTAAACAAAGAGTACACGACTCTACATCAGTCAGTATTTGTGCTATTGCAGACATATCGGTGTTTCCAATACACGGAAAACTGTTTTTCCTGCGTGTATAATGCAGCAGGAACATCCAGTGCGTTGACCGACTGATAGCTGAATGTGCATACACACGCTTCGACTTCAGCTTTATTCAACTCAACTCAGATCAAACATTAAACTGGACAAAATTGTTTTACTGTTTGGTGGTTCGGTGAATCCACAAAGATTAACAGAGTACAGAATACGTTGTTTAGTAGAGAGCAGTGCTGGAATGAATTAAACACATTTACGGTGTTTTGCTGGCTCTACTCGACTCGACGCACCAACCCAGCACAGCAGGGTTTTGCATTTGCAAAACAACGAGGCTACCAGCTTAGAGGTGTGTCTTTACAGGCAGGGAGCCGCAGATCAGAGCGACATGGTTAGACTCGGCACGGCCAAAAGTGCTAATGGTAAAGTGCAATTACTCAAGTACTGTTCTAGTAAAATTTAGAGGTAGGCTACTTGTACTTTCCATGGCATTTTCTACTACTTTATACTGCCACTCTACTAAATTACAGAGATAAATATTGTACTTTTTTCTCCCCTTTACAGTGAACAGCAGTGATATTTCTTTTATTTTTATTTATTCTTTAGATAAATGTGACCATTCATTATTCACAGTATTGCAATTGACTGATACTAAATGGCTTTTTTTTTTTTTTTTACACCACATTCAAATCATTTTATTTGTGTAGATACATTTTGGTCCTCAAAACTCTGTTTCTTCTTAACAACACAAACCAATTATGCTCACTGCTAGATCTACTTTAGAACACCATGTTTTGAATACTGAAACGTATTGTTGGACATGTTATGAAGAGACTATTCGTCAAACTGGAAAAACCGAGCTGAACAGAGAAAGAAGGACTGTGACTGTCTGCTGCTTACAAAGCTACTGTAATATCACTGCCTCAGCACTTCTCAGAAACAACCCACCAGCATACTCAGAGGAGACCTGTTTCAGTTCCTGGGAATCCTCACTCAGTCGATAGGAATGATAAATCTTTTCTCCATGTCTTAAGAGTCGTGCACATGACTAAAAGCCAACCAAGAAATAGACCCTGCAGGAAATATCCGAAGACGGGCAGTAATTAAGTTACTGCTAATGAGAGCCGTACATTTCCCACCGCTGCAGCTTTACATTAAAAACACAACTCTTATCATGGACTATGGATATAGTCGTCACAGGAAATACATTGTCTATGAGCTTGCTCTGGGTGCTATCAGGCACCAAAAACGCGTCTACAAGACAAGACAAATGGTTATTTTTCGACATTTCTGACAGCGGATCGGTTTGAAATATGGCAGGGAGTAATGGAACAAGAAGGAACAGCCACAGTGAGCCGTTAGCAGGAAGAGCTGCAGGCGACAGGCGGCAGACTATGTGCAGCCTAAAATCAGATCACAGTTGCTCACAGAACGAGGGACAAAAGGCCAATCCTTGCCTGACTTCTTTATTTAAAACAGAGATTTAAGAAGATTTGTTTGGCTGCCCCCGAGAATTCTGGGCCCTGTCGCATTAAACCGCATTTAACTACAGGTGTCACACGTACGAGAACACATGCGCTGCATAACAGCGTCAAAACCTGGTTAAAGTTCATTAATATTCGCTGCTAATCAGGACTGTATTCTGCAGTTACGTATGCAGGATTACAGATTTTACACTCCTCAGTGAGCTGAGTCTGTTCACACGGATACAGGCTGATAAAAATAACATTAATTCTGTAAGAAAATGAAAATATTAAACAATAATAGTCTAATACGGCCTACATTTCTTTTTATTCAATATGTTTTGATTAAAATCTGTCTGAGTGTGTTTTTTTTCTTACCTGTTTCTGCCATCTCGTGCAAAGTGATCATGGAGTAAGGGGGCTCTTGGTCACTGAAAAACAAAACGGTTCATACATAATGTGATAAACAGATAATCTTTTTCACTTCACCTGAACGCCATACACATCACATACAAACTCTGCTCTATATTTTGTGATCTGCATATTTATTTATGAGCGTGCTTCACACAAATGGGAGGTGGTGCATCCCCCAGTAAGAGCTTTTCAAACAGCGAATACATCTGAGGTGTTTATGACCCTGTGGTCGCTGCATCTGAAATCGTATAAACAAATGATTCATGCCTTTATGGGTTTCTATGATTGCAGTAATGGCTGCGGACAGCAATGTTGTCCCACAGAGAGGTTACTGTAAGCGTGTAAATGTCATGGATTTACTTCAGTGGGTGCTGTATTAGATGATGCTGCTGCTATTACGGGTGCTCGTCATGGCTCATCCCCAAGCTGAAGGCTGCTTTTGTTTTGAAAGCCAAAACTTCAGTCAGCTTGGTCCTCAGATTTCCCCAACACAACTGAGTAACACTATAACTGCATTTACTTTCATTTATAAGTCAAACTGTGAACAGGTTCTTGGAAATGTACTTGAATACAGTAGTATCTTGACACACAGATGTTCCAACATGAAGCTTTGTTCTGTTCCCCACGGAAATGTAACCACAGGAAACCATCATTTTTAGCTTTTAACAACACTTGCATGCCTGTGTGTTCACATGTGTTGAGAACCACCGGGTGTACACCTTCTCCACTATTATTTAAAATGATATAATGGAGATTCTTCAGGTCATGCCTGAAGCTTGTGAGGATGAGTCTCTCTGAAGGTGAGACGTTCACTTTAAATATATACGGCTCCACACGATGCGGACACAAGAGGCCCGGTTCAGGGAAAGTAGACTGAACACAGTTTCTTTATTCAGGAAAAAATAAGGCGGGTTTTGGCTGCTGCTACTAACTGGACCAGACTACAGTGCTTATAATTTACATGGACCAATTTCAACATTCATATTTGAAATTTTTGCATCTGTTGCTTCAGCATCTACGCAGGAAACACAGATCTTGCTATATCATTGCAGCAAGTCATCATTACGCCGAGAGAGGAAACTGACTGGTCCTCTCTTAAGAGTTTAAACTACAGGTGAATGACCAAATACCTGCAGCAGCTGCATGGAGCACTTATTCACCTCTGTGGAGACGGAGCAATGCAAAGAACCGGCTAACTGCAGAGTGTATTTAGTGGAAAAAAATCGTAATAATAAAAGATACAAGTCCGGTTTTAGGTGGAAAAAGTATTATAATAAAGTATTATTGTAGATTGTTTTGTCAGCTTGATGTCCTATATTGTTATTCAGTTTTTAGTTACAATATGTATTAGTTATTAGACAAATAATAAGCACTTATAACTGCTTACTTACAAGTACATTAAAGTTTGTTATAAACCTTTGTAACTGTTTATACTGTGCTCTTTCATACAAATTAACAATAAAAGATAAAAAGGCAAAGAACTTGGTCATCTGAAAGGCGTCACTTTGTACCCACGACGTCTTCAAACATCCTCGTATGTGATGTTTAAGTGTTCGAGACGACAGAACAACCTCACGTGATGCCTCGGCTGCAAGACGTCAACCTCCGATTTTAAATTCAGCTTTTAAACTGCTTCAGTTTCACGAGCAGCTACCGTGGAGTGAGCGATCCCTCATGATATATCCAACTGGATGAAAAACAAACTACAGGATCAAGAAGGTCCAAATGTGTCGGGCAAACACATCCAGTAAATACGCCGGTATACCTTCATTACTTATCCTGGGCACTGTGGCTACTCTATTACTGTTACACATCTAATAGTTTAATGACAGTAGTGGAACTTATAATGGGACAGAAATATGGATTTATCAAGTTGTGTCTGCTTTTATATCCTCATGGCGCTGGTTCAAGTTCAGTTTCTTTTAGTTGGCTTTATCTTTATCTTATTAATATAATTACTTTTATTAGACTTACTTGTCTACCAGTGTCCTGATGACAGCCAGCGTGTCCAGCACCAGGCCGTCCACATTCTGCTTCTTCCGTCTTGGCTCATGGGGGCCTCGTCCTCGGCGTGGGGGCCTGACCGGGTCCCTGGGTCGACTGCTCCGAGGCTCTCCGGCGTCAACACCAGCACCTGTACCGTGATCCACCCGCCGAGCTTGTCCTCGCGTCGCCCTTGACGACCCATGGTGATGGTCCTCCAAATCACTATCCTCCCGGCACACACAGCTGTTACCCATGGTTCCAGTGCCGGAGACCACACTGGCGAGGGTCTCCCAGAATGGAGGGAGGGAGTTTGAGGACGAAAGGAAGAGCAGAACCTGTGCAAGGCTCCTGCAGGCACAGAAAGTGATCCAGGCGGCTACTATCATATCATTTGGAGAGCTTGGTTTTGGGGGATTCTTATCCCAGTGGGCCGGGTGGGGTCAGTGTAAATTATCATAGTGTTGCCAAGCAGAGAGGAGGGATTGGTATGGGACAAAGAATATATAGCTGGTTAAATGGATCAGGAGGGGTCAGGTGATGCGAGGAGAAAAGCTCTGGACATCACAGACAGCCCGAGGCTCAGGTCCAGTTCTCATCCAGGGCTCGCATAGCTGTTGGAGGCGACACAAGCAGGAAAGATAAAGTAAAAACACTGCAAAACCCCCCCCAAAAAAAAATCCTGTCAAGAGCTGCATATTAAACAGGTTCAAACAGCTGATCGTGTGCTGACAGCAACACACTAGTGATCGGAAGTGACACACCCATGAGAGTGAGGGAAATAAAAGTGAAAATCAACACATTTAAAATCACTCAAGAGATCTTATACGACCGACAACAGCTAGCCACCCACCGACAGCGAGCACAGGGTCTCACAAACTCTCACTTATCACGTCGCTAGTGGACTAAAACAAAAATGACCCTTACAAATTCAACGTGAACGCATACTTACGTGGAGGCATCCAAACACACCCGAGCCAGAACGAAGAAGTCAACACACAAACACACTAACACAGCGAGCTCACGCAGCTAGCCGCCGTTAGCTCGCCGTGTTAGCTCCGGTTAGCTCGGATCCGCGAGCACAAGTTGAGCGAACAACCGACAGCGCGTGGTGAAGCACAGACGGTCACATGACCCGCAAATACACACAGTCTGAAAACAACAACAACAACAACAACAACAACAACACGTTCATAACACGGTTAGCTATCACGTCGGAGGTCCTCGCAGGCAGCTTTAAACCGGCTAGCTGCCGATGCTAAGTTCCGTAGCCGCTGGCAGCTAAAACAGCTTCCCCATCATCAGCTGTGTGTGTGTGTGTGTGTGTGTGTGTGGGGGGGTGGCAATAAAAGCAACAAGTGATATTAAAGGTTAGTGTGTTACTGTCTGGTGTAAAAAAAAACAAAATTAAAACACTAAAAACATTAATGAGGGTTAATGAGGGCGACTTAAATGCCCTGGAAACTAAAGTTTCCCACGGTTCTTGAACGCAATCGCCAGGAGGCTCCAGAGGCGGATGTAGAGAAAGATCCATGGGGTGTAACTAACCCTCTTCAAACAGGTGGTAAGAAGGTCACAGTGACTTGGCTTCAGTCTTTTCTGCTTGAGGAGTTCTTGGATTTATTTATTTATTTATTTATTTTATTTATTTATTTATTCACTGACAGTCTACACTTGTGCACACACTGCTACCTGTTCTCAATTCAGTTCAGATCTGCTTTATTGGCATCAAAACAACAATATTGCCAAAACGTTGAGAATCAATGGAACAAAATAAACACATTTCATAGATTAAAACCAGAAAAGAGACGCAGATTATTGTTCAAAACTTTCTTTGTGTGTGATTTTGTATGTGTGTATATACAAACAACAATAATAACTCATTATTATAACAATATCTTACACAAACTCTCTCTCTCTCTCTCTCCCACATCCCAACAACACCTATATATGATATAGTACAGTGCGCTTTACTGTTACACGCTTACTTACCTGCACAGGCAAACTTAAACCCTAATTTACTGGCATCTGCAACTCAAAAATCCTTCATATACTGATTTAAAAATGCTAATTAGGACAACGATAGAGAGACATTTCCAGTACAGACAAGCTTTTGTTAATTGCAAAACCACAGCTTTATTTCTGAATCAGATTAATTACAAAAAAATTAAATGAAATCAACAATTTACAGCGTACTGGTGATAAAAAATGCTTTGAGAATCAGTTTATTGCTCCTCAAAAAGCTCACATTTATCACCATTAATGTATTTAGGTCTGGGAATAAGGACACGGCGGAGAGGAATGATGGTGAGCTGGGTGACTCCACGCAGCAGGGTCGAGGTCCACGTTCAAGCCTGCGGTCCATTAAAGTAAGTACTGTATGGTTCGACATCTCTGGGAAGGTCTGAGGTCTCACAATTTGGGCACCTGAAGTCAAAATCACACATGTGATGTTACATTTAATGTTATTTACCAGACAGAACAGGGTCAGGTTGTTACAAATGTGAAAGGATAAACTGCTGCTGTATATTTATATATATTTAAAATTTATTTAAAATATTTTTATTGTTACACCAGGCCACTAACCTGTGCAATATTCTGTTTTAATTTATTTAAAAAACTGTATGTACTGTACATACAACCCTAATTCTATTTTTTTTCTTTATATCTTATATTTCTCTATTTTATTTTGTTATTTAACCTGTATTTCTGTTTTTTATGTTCTATCTGGAGCTGCTGTAACACGTTAATTTTATCTTATCTAATCTAAAACACTGAATTCACTAATATTATCTTCTTTATTTCCTTTTTTTAATTACTCTTTAAGCTTAAACAAGGAATAACCTCACAGTCTCTGACCTCTTAACCTACTAATGCTGCAATAAAAGCTCATTATTAAAGAGGAAGGTGGCGCATACATTGCATAGGTATTCTTTTTCTAAACTTAGACTTAAAATCAAATTAGAAATATGACAGAACATTCATCCTTACATTAGGTCAACCATGCATTTAGATGTCATACCCTGCTTCGGTCTAGGGCCGTATTTAAGGTGCTTTCACGATACATCCCAGTCTTGGCCAGTTCTTCGGAGAATCTTTGTGATTTAGGGTGGAACGTACACGGTGAGCTCTCAAAGGTCGGAGAGTGGAGACCGTAGGCACTGGAAGTGGTCTTGTAAAGCAGATTCGGGAGAGTCGTCCCCAGCTCCGGTGCTGCTTTAACTTCTGGGGTCATCGTGCAGGAGAAAACTGGGTTTCCAGGGTTGACACATGTTTTTTCTACTTGCTGTTCTTGAGACGCTGACATCTCTGCAGGGTACTATGAAAAGAAAATGAAATATTTAGTACAAAATGACTTCATTTTTGTGATTTTAGGTCATTATGGGTGTACAGCAGACAGCTTACTGAGCTCCAGAGGAGGAAAAGCCTGGATAAGACTCCTCACATGGAACATTCTGGACTTGTGAATAGGACTTTATAGACTCCTTTGGACTCATGAGCACTTTATAAATGTTTTCTGACGCATTTTAACACTTGTCAACTTGTTTTGTAACATTTTCATATAAAATCTAAGTTGAAGTTTATTTTAAAAAGTACACAGTATACTTTCAAAGGTTGGAGAGCAGCAGCTATTTTTGATGTTGAAAACACACTTGGATGTTTTGAAGTTTCATATCATATCGCAATGCAAACTTCAAGTAGTATTAGAAGTATTTACAGGGAGATTTCTGGGAACACTGTAAGGGTACAAATCATTTACTTAAACTAATGTATGACTTAATGCATGAATGAATGCAGGATGTATCATTCATTCATTCCTGTTGCTTACCACTAACAAACAACCAGGTCAATGTGACTGTTTGTGATTAGTTTACATTTAATAGATGTTAATTCAGGATTGTAGTTACATAAAAGTATATTCATGCATTTGCTCAGCCTCTCTGATAAAAACAATAAAATAATAACTTTTATAAGTGAATCCCTCCATCAATGTGGTCGCATATCAATTCATGTATGAAGTAACTGTGAATCAACATGCATTAAGTGAACATGAATCAAATTAACATTAGTTTAGCATTACTGAAGAGTCGTTATATGATATATACCCTTATTATACAGCGTTGCAAGACTGATAATACCCGGCCTGACCCCTTACAGGTGCTAATGTAACATTAGTTAACGATGCCAGTTGAGCTTATAGTCGCCTTTCTACACTAAGCAACGTAACATCGCCGTTTACCTGGTGTTACAGCTCCAAACGCTCCATGAAACGCTGTTGCTCCGGATCTGTTATTAACTTAACACAGTGGACGCTGCCTTCAAATGCAGTAGGCTAAAACAAAAAGAGCCTTACGGTTACCATGGAAACCGTTCACCAACGGAGCCCCCGTTTTGCGGAGCTCACTGTACACTTGTTGTAACTGCCACGAAACATATATTATTATCATTATTGGTGGTGGTGGTAGTAGTAGTGGTGGTGGTAACTTAGTAGTCGTAGTAATTGACCGGGAACGAATGTATTTAACACAGGTTTATCAAATACAGTACTTTCCGTAGGACGTGAAGGCATCATCGCTTACATCGTCACCAAGCGTCATACGTTTTTACGTAAAATCCACTGCGTTCTACAACAGCTAAAAAAAAAAAAAAGACAACACCTGAAACCCGATCGATCCTCACCGCGTGTTGTTCGCAGACTGAAGCAGCCCGTGTGTTACTGTTCGTATGGGTTTCTAACGTTAGGCTGCCTGGTGTATGTGTAATAAAAAGTAACGTTAGCTTCGGCTATCTCCATCTCTTGTGTTTTTAGTTTAGCAGCTAGCTTGAGGCTAACAGCTGGGCCGCGGGTCCCGCTGCTGGGAGAGGATGGACAGTGAAATCCAACGAGACGGGAGAGTCCTGGACCTCACTGATGATGCCTGGAGGGAGGACCGACTGCCGTATGAAGATGTCACCATCCCTCTGGTAGACACTGGTTCATGTTAGCATTAGCCTGCTTTTATAGCTGTTTACCAGTGTTGGGCAGCTATGTAATGATGTTACTGTAATATAAGTTACTTTCCCAGGTTACTAGTTAGTAGTGTAACTAGTTACTAATAGATTTCACTAATAATATTACAGTTATCCCCCCTAAAGTAATTGGTTGCAGCCTACAGCCCCCCAAAGGCTTACATTAGGCAGCTGGAAATATTCACATTACTTTGATTTTAACAAACAAAACAGGATTTTGGGTAGAAAGGACACAATTACCAACTTTTGTGGGGAGTAGCAGAGGAGTAATATAACCAGTAGTGTAACTAATTACTGTTGGCAGGGAGAAGAGGAAGTTTTGGTCTTGATGCCGTCATACTGTTGGTATAAAGTATATAAAGTAAGTGTAAAGCATCTTTTCTGCCCCTGTCCCACCAGAGTGAACTACCCGAGGCCGAGCAGGACAACGGCGGATCCACGGAGTCGGTGAAAGAACAAGAGATGAAGTGGACAGACCTCGCCCTGCAGAGCCTGCACGAGAACACACCAAACACTGGAAGCTGAAAGACTAATCTGGACTCAGACTGTGGGACAAAAACACGCAATGCACACGGACGCTGGATTCAAACACACGTCGTTCATCGTCTCTTCACATTTTACTGCGTCTTTGGAAGGATGTCTGATGTGTTCCAGTTAAACAGAAATGATACGAAAATGTATTTTGCCATTGTTATTGGATTTATGTTGTAGTTTTATAGAAATAAAATACTGTGTAAAAACACAATCTGGAGTCACATCCTGTGTCTGTCCACTAACACTTGATATATGTCAGTTCATGTCAGTTTTTGCAACATATTAAGACCTTAATACACCCATGCACATAAAATGTATTTATTTTTATTTTATTAAAGAAGATTTATCTTCATCTAGGAGTAACTATATGCACTCGGTAGCGACTTTATTCGCTAACCAAATCTAATGCAGTCTAATCAACAACCCTGTAAAAAGTTCTACTTTCACCAATTTTATCTTTTTCAGTAAATATCCATTTATCATCATTCATCAGCTGTCGTTTGTGGCACTGTTGCACTGTGTTATAGTGAGAGGTGTTTCTTAAAATACCCTACCCTCATTGATAGAAACACCTGTATTTCCCCCTATATGTGGATCAATTAGACCAGTGGTTCCCAACCTCAGCAAAAGTCTCCAAAGCTTCATGGGGAGTCGCAAGTCCTTCTTGATTTGAAGGCATGTGAGAAAACATTAAAAATATACACAGTAGGCCAATACTCACCATTTGTAAATGTAAAGCAAATTGTCTAATCAAACAATGAGAATAAAACATTGAATTTGTCAAAAAAGAAGCCTATTAAGTCTGTATGATTGTTAAAGATGACAATAAATACATAATACAGACAGAATTGTATAAAAAAAGTTCCCTGAACAGGAAAAAATCTGCTCAAAATTGATCCAAATCACTTGTTTTACACAAACTGTTCCCTATTTGGGTTCATTGAACAGTTTTAAGATAAAATTAAATGTTTATTACAATAAATATTGCAATATAAAAGGGGAACCAGTGACTTAGACCTTAGTGTAGCTGGTTTTTATTCACTGTGGTACAGTTTTATTTCCAGCTTAGATATCTCCAGGCAGTCCATTTAACCATCGTATCCATAAATATTTAAGGAAAATAAGATTCCCTTCAATGTATTTAACATTTGCAACTCGGTTTGGCAAAACAATCCATTGTCTCTTGGCAGATCTTTGCATGTAATTGCATTTGTTTCTTGCATCGTTACCCAGGCTGATCATCCCTGTACAAACCTGGTTTAAACCAGAACTACAGCTCCAGCATCACTGTGTCTCGGCAGCCTCTGCCAAGAGCTTACGAACATGGTCATGCGGCCCCTTCCGCTGCAGGGCTGAAGGGTATCGGTAGGAGCCCCCCAGACGATCCCAGAGTGTGAAGTATTGTCCGTAGTTGTAGTTGAAGTAGAGGTGATGGTCTACGTGGTGAGCAGCACCGTTGATCAGACAAATCAGGGGGCCGGGGATGCGGTAGTCTCCATCGTGTATGGAAATGGTCCAGATGTTCACAAAGACGAAGAGTGAGAGATAGACCCCCTGTAATGTAAATATCAAACATGATTGTACTTTTTGGAATGAATTGCTTAAAGTTTTAACATTAGCAGCCTTTTGAAATATGCAGTGAAGCTTTTGCAATACTGTTACTCCTCAGACCTAACATTGTGTTTCAGTAAAGAGTTACAAGTAGACCAACACCTTGTGGAGGGGGAAGATGAAAGGGTAGACGTGATAGGGTAAGCTCTGCAGGAAGCCGTCGAGTGGGTGAAAGGCATGGCTGGCAAAAGGCGTAGGGACTTTGAATATATGATGCTGCTTATGTAAGTGCTGAGGGGGAGAAACACAAACGGTCTGAATATTGGGAGAGTGAGGAAAACAAGGTACACAAAGCTCGACAGTGAATTTTAGCCAGAAATCAGAACGTGTGATAGAAAAGGTTATTCTGTAACTTTTATTATCAATTATTATGTCAAACAAACTAAATGACCCATCTAACAAATAAATAAATGTGATAAAATTGTACAGTTGTGGATTTCATATATTGAGTTGGAGTATAGTTGTTGAGCCCTGATAGGCACCAAACTGGACTGACCCCTCTAGATTTTACAGAATTATTTGGTTTATTGTTTCTATAAAATATATATATATATATATATATATATAATAAAACATGCTGAAGCTCACCTTGTAAATGTTCTTATGGTGCATGCACCGGTGTATCCAGTAGATACACATGTCGGTGAAGAACAAGAAACCAGCAATGCTCAGGAACACCCCGTTCCAGCCTGAAACACAAGCACAGCAGGCTAGTGTGGGTAAGATCAAGAGAAATACTTTAATCACGGCTGTTATCAGCTCACTTTTTTTTAGCCAGAACTCAACCAAATAACTTCCTTGGGTTGTAAGGTTTCAGGTAAACATCTCACCCAGAGAAGAGTCGCTGATGTTGTCATAAAGTTTGCTGTGTCCCCTGACCTCCCAGAAGAAAAGGGCCACTGTGGGGAAGCTCATCCAGAAGATGGAAGCAGTTCCTAGTTGAATCTCTCTTCTTACCTGGTTCTGTCGTTGGATCAAAAAGACACTAAGTTAGAATGTGTGAAGTTGGCTTTGGCGTTATTGGTCACATCTAATACATTTTTATTCATAATGCCCTTTTCATCAAAAGATCTCAAAGTGCTACAGGTTAGAAACAAAAAAGATGAGCAGTTATAAGAAAAGGAGAAAAAGGAGAAAAAGAAAAAAAAAAAAAAAAAAAAAAGAAAACATCTAAAAGGGACCAAAAGCTTTGCTAAAAAGAAATGTATTAAGATCCTTTTTAAAACAGTCAGTGGATTGTGGTGCCCTCATGGTGTCAGGGAGGGCATTCCACAGACGTGGGGCAGCAGCACAAAAGGCCCTATCTCCCATGGTCCTGAGTCTGGTTCTGGGTATGTGGAGGAGGTTTGAGTGAGTGGAGCGGAGGGAGCGTGTTGTGTTTTGTGGGTTGATAAGTTCTTTAAGGTAGTTGGGGGGCATGTCCATGGATGCATTGATGTGTGAGGAGAGAAACCTTGTACTCAATCCTGGTGGAGACGGGAAGCCAGTGGAGTGAGTGGAGAATGGGGGTAATGTGCTCATGTTTCTGCACTCTCATCAGGATCCTAGCTGCAGAGTTTTGGATGTACTGAAGCCTCTGCAGACTCTTGCCAGGAATCCCAATGAGAAGTGCGTTACAGTAGTTCAGTCTGGAGGAGACAAAGGCATGAACCAGCTTTTCGGCAGCTGAGAGGGAGAGAATGGGGCGGAGTGTGGAAATGTTACGGAGGTGGTTGAAGGACGTCTTGCATAGGTGATTTATATGGGCTTCAAAAGTGAGTTGGGAGCCCATTTTTACACCAAGATTTTATGACTATTGATGAGAGGGGGATGTTGGAGCCAGAAAAGGTGATGCTGCTTATGGTTGATGATTTGGTCTGGTGAGGGGTGCCAACCAGGATGGCTTCGGTTTTGGAGCTGTGGAGTTGAAGGAAGTTGTGCTCCATCCGTACCTTTATCTCCTCCAGATAGGTGGTGAGTTTAGATGGGGATGAGGGTGAGGGTGGGGTTGCAGCAGTGGAATCACATTTTGTGACGGCTGATGATTTGGCCAAGGGGGGTGAGGTAGAGGATGAAGAGGATGGGGCCAAGGACTGACCCCTGTGGGACACAGCAAGTGACTGTGTGTGGATTTGATTTTGGAGTGGCCCAGGGAGATGTATTCTGTCCGGTTTGTGAGGTATGATTTAAACCAACTGAGGGCAGTGTCATTGAGTCCAGTGGTGAGGTGGAGCCGGTCTAGGAGGATGAGGAGGGAGGGAGAGCCAGCATTGGACTATATGAGGAGGTCGTTTGTGACTCTGACGAGGGCAGTCTCTGTGCTGTGGGCAGAGCGGAAACCTGACTGGAATTTTTCAAAGAGGTTATTATGTTTGAGGTGGTCCTGAAGGTGGGTGGCAACTACTTTCTCAAGTACTTTTGATATGAAGGGGAGATTGGAGATGGGCCTGTAGTTGGAGTAGAAGACAGGACTTCCGGATCAAGAGTGGCATCTGTAGATAAAAACTGGTTTGGTAAGGTAACAAAAATATAACAATTCGTATTTTCAGGTGATGATACACTAATGAAAACATACCTATAAATATCATATTGTATTTCTGTCAATAGATCCTCCTAAATGCTCACACTGGACCCGTAACCAGTGGAGCCTGGTCCATTAAACAGCTTACCTTAACAAAGTATGGATGTTTCATGAGCTTATGGTCAAACACATAGTAGAAGTTAAGAGCACCAAAGCCCAGGTAAATCAGCTCTGCTCCCAGGTTGGTCACCACCCACAGACTGATTATCTGACGCAGAGCCCCGTCCTCGGGCCACGAGGCCGGGTAAACGTACGGAGAGAAGATGTACTTGTCGGCAATGTTCAGCACATGATCCATTGCTCAGTCTGGGGAGAGGGTGAAATCCACACAGTCACAATCTGAAGCATGGCTAAGCTTTTTAAAGATGCGTGTAATAATTCAAACACACCGTGAATACTGTGTTTACATGCTAGGATCTGCTGTTGTCAGGCTTAAGGTTTATACATCAATAGCTTCCATTTGATCCTTTTTTGGGATTATTAGTTTATGTCGACATTTAACACTGCAACACATGAAACAGTGAAACAGAAGGAAGAAAATAACAACAAGCACAGTTATAAGACAATCAAATTAAAGATTCCTACCTGTACGAATACTGTCTTAATGAAAGTCACTATACATGTGTCCTCATAGGTCAGAACACCTTAATGTCTATTAATACAACTGTACTTGGACCTCTTCACCCTACAGCTCCTGTGGTCCTCCACCAACGCTGACTGTTTGTGAGCGACCACATCACTTTACTGATGATTAGACCAAAGTCCTGAGCTGGTTATCAGAAGCTGCATCTGTTAAAGTCCTGTTAAACTTGATTGATGACCTTTTCTCAGACCCAATCAGTCCATTCAGCTGTAGGTGATTTACCATACGATGCTAATCAGTGTCAGCAATACAGTCAGCCAACATATAGCTATGTGGAGTTTTTTAAAGGAGTATAAACTGCAGGAATCTGCTCACAGAAAACTAATCTGTCCCCAAGTGATGCTGAGGAAATCCCATGCAGGATATAACGGATATAACAGGATATAACAGGATATAACAGGATATAAGCAAAGTAGTCGCCACAAGACGACCACATTTTGAAGAAGGTTAAAAGATAATAGCAACATAACTAGAGTCACATTCTTAAGTTGGCTTAAACTGGCTGGCTTAGGTTGCATTTTGCTAACATTGGCTCTCACATGTTTAGCATAGGCTATCTAAGTACAGGAAAGGAGGAAGCTGGCTGAGGCTTTGCTCAACTGTTATTGGAGCACAGAGCAAAAAAGGGGCGGGACTTAAGAAGGGTCAACTGTATGATTCCAGAATAATTACCATTAAAACATACACCTACAGATATTCCTGCTATAAATGGTAAACAAACAGAAACAGCAGCATAGTGATAGCAATCCTGTACACTTGCTGCAGGACAGCCAAATATATCACATGCACTGAAGGCTTATTCACCCAGATGTCAGATGTATTAAACTGATATTGTTTCAGTGTTAATCTCTGTGGTCACATTAAGAAATTCCAAATGCTTTCTAAGCATTATTTTATCAGGATGTCCAAAAGAGCTCATAGCCGAACTGACCTGCTTCAGGGCGAGGACCAGACGTCATAAGCATGTGAACCTTCTTAGAAAGTGGACGAGTCCTCCTTCCTCCAGCATTTATGATTTGTGACAGAAAGCACGTGGCCCTCAGCGGCGGATGAATTACACGCTGCTGATATGAGTTTACCATCCAATCCAATATGTTTTCCACTAGTGTAAATGTTTTCTGGAAGCTGGTGGAGATTCAGAGGGAAAGTCTTCTTTGCTTTATTTTTACTGAGGCAGTAAAATGTGTTGTGGGGATCCAGGGATAGACGTGTCAGGTCTGCTGGAAGGAGATACCAGCGTGCTCAGCAAATAACAAGTAGCTCAGTGACACAGCAAGACTGGATCTTCCAGCAAGATCTGCCCATTTCAGGAGGGTTTGAGTGAAAGAATATTTCCCTGCTGCCTTTAAATATCGATGATTTGATTTAGAGAAATGTAATGAGCTTCATGAGATCATTTATTTGAAAAAAGTGAAAGAATCTGATGCTGTTTTATATAAATATTGACCTACATAAGTCATCAGACATAGCACTGTAGCATTTAAACCTTACATCTCCTGTTTTTAGGATCTGTTTTAGTGCCAAATAAACTCATTTGCGAGGGTAAGCATGCAATTTTTTTGCAGTGCATGTGCCTTGACCCCTGCTGGGCTTCAGGATCAAGTTCTCCCCTGAGCTGTCTGCCCTTTGCACACACACACACACACACACACACACACACACACACACACACACACACACACACACACACACACAAGTGGGTGTGAGTTTGATCAGGAGGAAAAGAGTATTTATCGCCTCATGATCATAAGACCCAGAGTGTCTGATGGGATGTCAACACTTCCGACCTGTTGCACACAAACACCTCGTTGTCAGAGAGCGAGAAGCTGATCTCTTCTCCTCAGAATAAGCAGGACTGGACCTGCGCTAAGAATCTGAACAAGATGGTGAAAGTTTTCATACAAAGAGCTCCTCCTTTTTCTGCAGCTGATGTTATTTTTTTATCCATCATCACTTGTATTGATTACACAACTATCTCTAATGCAATGTACACCTACTGTATATTGATGGTTTACATATGTAGATTATGTTTTGGTTATGTAAATGTTGTTTCCTGATTTGCTGAGGTTGTCAAATGGTTGTGGAGGATAAAATTAAACAGCAAATTGTGAAAAACAGCGTGGAATGAGAGACAGGAAGCAGCTCTCAGGGTTGTCAACCTTTTAATGACAATCAACAGGGGACAAGACAACTCAAACACACTAATATAGGATACATAACCTGTTTTTATACCCAGTTACATCAGTAATACGAGAATGTGTTTCTATCTATTGTTGTTATATAAGGCCTAAAGTAGATATTTTGACTGCTGACTGTGAATATACCCAAAATCTAATTAGATGTTGTTCTGTTTGTGGGCAAAGCAATGGTCCTCCTGTGTGAGTTTGGTAGCTTCCATGTGTTATATTACAGTATTCCCTGAACAGTCTCTGCTGGCGGTAGTTGGGGGTTAGGGTGGAACCACGCACTTTTAGTGCAAAGCGCTCCTGGAAGCTCCCTCTGTATATATGAATGTGTATATGTCTCCCTCTAGAGCTCTCAGACACAAACAGCACCTCCCTGTGCAGTGTGCACACGTACCTTTCCCTCAATTCAGACCTCTCTGCTCATTATTTATGGATGCCAAACCCCAGTGTCCCAGAAAAACAGAGTGAATCATCATCGTTTGGACTTTGGGTTTACCAATATAATCTAAATCCAAATTAACTACCACACGCTGGAATGACTTTACTTTGATTTATTAGGAGCAAACAGTGCGTTTCGCCTGCATCTTCTTCAGGTTCACTCAGTAAAAAACTTTTTTAAACTTACATTTTCTTTCATTTACAGACAAAAGTTATTTTTTGTTTGTTTTAATGTACTTTTTTTCTTCCTAAGTTAACCTGAAGAAGCTACCGGCGAAAAAAATGATTGTTACACTCCTGAAGTGACCTGAATGAGGAACAAAGATCTAGAGAAAGTCACATGCATTTCACATGTGAAAGAAATGAAATGGTCAGAGTCAGTGTCATGTGTTCACACTGTCAGGAAAACAATCTGATCTGAGTTACATGTGAGCAAAAAGAGTCTCAATAGCTGAATTCAGCTCATGCAAGCACAGTCACATCCACTCTTACTCATGTTCCTAACATTCGACGTCATCTCATGGAAACTGCAGTGCATACAGAAATGAGTTTGGATATGTTTCAGAACTTATAATCACAATACGGCAAAATTACAAATCAAAGTGGTCCATAATTAGCTTCTAACAAGACATCAGTATCTCAAATCCCTCATACGTAATCAGTAGCAAATGCAAAGTAAAAAACCCGTTTTTGACTTTGTCAGCATTGTGTGTGGATTGGTGAAAGAATGAAGCGAAGGGAGGACACTTGTGTCATTTATTGCTTATTATTTGTAACTCTTTCTGCTACTCCCCACAAAATGGTGTCTTTTCTCCCCAAAATTCAGACTCCCAATGATTAAAATCCAGTTTTGTTTGTTAACTCAAAGTAATGTGAATATAACAATAGTGACTTTATTCATATTGCACCTTTTACAGACAAAACTAAATGATTGTGATACACAAAAATGTAATTAAATATAAGAATACTACCAAAATACAATAACAAGGAAACCATAAACCATAAAAATACCATGAAAATGAAATAAAATAGATAGAATAAAGTTAAAAAAAGACATCACATGAAGGCCAATCTACAAAAATGGGTTTTAAGAAGTGATAAAGAAGTCACTGACTCTGTAAACCAGACCCAGACCAGCTTTAAAAGTGATCAGTAACATCTCAAAATCAATTCTACAAATTATTTCCAAGCAAGGTTCCTCCATGATTCCAAAAATGAATCCAAGGATGTGTTTGGATTGTTTATTATGAATTAGTTATACTACTAACCTACTAGTTAGAATGTCATATTATTACTGTAATGTTATTACTATAACACTGGTCATCTCATGGAGAATTTGTCTCACATTAGACCTACAAAATAAGACACAGACAACGTGTGGGATGTTATTTTATCATTCTTCATTGGTATTGTAGTTCCTATTTCTCAAGTTAAAGTCTCTTTAGTGATTTCCCGACAGCTTTCATTAGTTACACCCTTTAATGACTCAACTCACAACTGTTTTGCACTGGTACTTCAGTGGAAAAGCACAGCCGGACAGTGGCGAGCGCAAAAAAAACACAAGGGGACAATGTTGCCTTCAGGCTCCCACCACAACCTCCTACCTCCGCGGGCAGGGAATGTAAACAGTGGAAATCTACCAGGTTTCATCATGAAATTATAAAACCATCATACATACTAATAAATCCTCGATGGGTTTAAACAAACTATCATTTTGTGCAATCTCTGGGCGAGGGGGGAGTTGTCCCAAGCACTCGACTCGTGAGTTAGATATCTCCCACAGCACCCCGGTCCCTGAAGGCAGCACACTACAATGGGCTGTTTGCTTTGGTTTGCTCACGAACTCCGGGTGCACAAAGCACCGCAGACAAAAGTGTGTTTGAACCGTGTGCACAGAGCTGGAAGCACGGCCCAGCCACAGTTTACATGCGATGGGGAAATAACTGTTTATTTTGATAACCTCACCATGACACTGACATTTCTGTTATCGACATAAATTAATAAAAAACCTCAGAGTTAGGTCAGTGTAACTGTAAATCCACTTACAGGACACGTGGTTGATTTAAAAACCTTTTAATATTAGGATATATATACTTTATATTTTAATATATTTCTATTTTGAAGCAAGGTTTCTGAAATACAACAAGCCTTCAGAATAAAATGAGTATGTCATTCAGTATTTGGGTTGTTATACTAGTTTAAAAAAAAGCACAAAATGAATGGTTTTAAATATGTGCAGTGTATAAATATGGTAAATGGACTGCTCTTATATCTATATATCAGATTTGGAAATACTTTATTGTAATACCTGCACATGTATAGTTAGTTATACTGTTTAAATATGTTTTGCACACCATATTTCTTTATTGCATACTGCATATATTTTCATTATAGTTTTATATTCTCTATTATATCTTTATTTTATTATTCTTTATTCTCTTTTTTACACTGAATGTATGCCACAGGGGATCAATAAAGGATCATAAACTGGTTAATATAATATGAATAGAGCATCTTTTCTGGTCTACCTGCCACATTCACCCATTCACACACCGATGAAACAATTTAAGGTTCATATAAACGTATAATATCTTGCTGCACTAATACACAGCCTACATTAGCAACTGTACAGGTACTCTATCTTAATCCAAAAGGAAAACAAAACGGCCTAGAATTAGAATTTACCAGATTATTATCAGAACCAGGTTTATTGCCTCAGTAAATTGGTGCAAAACAATAAACACAGAATATAAATAAACATAAACAATCTATACATTATGTGGTTTGTTTTTGACCCCAGTGATTTCTCCTTATTACATTACTTTAGATAATAATATAACTTTATTCCCAGGGGCTCACAAACGTCGGAAGTCGTACCCGTGAACGCATCTTTTACCACGCGCTCTTTCACACTCATTTCGTGCCCGTGCGCACACCGCGAGCGCGTGACTTATTGATTTTGTGCACACCACCATTTGTGCTCACGGATTTCCACATTAAAACGGATCAATAAACCTCCCATATGACCCACTGAAAGGAAGGGAATGAAATGATCTAAAGAAGGCAAACAGGTGGCGTTCAGTGTCCGGATACACCTGGGAATTAAACAGGTGAACTTTCCTGAACACGTGTTTCTCTCTACATGCCACACACACACACTAATGTTGTTCTCCGTGTAAACACGTTAATTATTCCGGGGGTGCAGCGTCTCCAGGGAAGGGGGGGTACAAATGGGGGGGGTGCGTGGGTCTTACGTAATTTCCCAGCCTGGGAATCTCTGTGTTTCAGCTCATGTCGTGTGCACAGACTCCTTTGTGATCGTCTGCTGCGCCTGCGTGCAAGCGTGACAGGCGCATTCTTTGCACCCGGTCCTGTTGTTCCCTGGTGGCTATAAAAGAGCTGCTCCATTCCCTGACAGACCATAACACTGACTCTTCTGAGCCTGAAGACAGCTTCCACACTGAGAGCCTGAAGACATCACCTGAACAGAAGCCATGGACCCTTGCGACTGCTCGAAGAGTAAGTGTTCTCTGGTTGTGTCTGCTCTTAATGTTTTCTATTTATCTGTCTTTTTATGAGCTGCTGATGTGAAACTGATCTACCTGAGTTTGTTTTTTTGTTTTCAAGGTGGAACCTGCAACTGCGGAGGATCCTGCACTTGCACAAACTGCTCCTGCACCACCTGCAAGAAGAGTAAGTCAAATAACATCCTTTTACACTGATCTGTAGAGAGTAACTGTTTTAATCTGAACCCAGTCAGGCTGTAGACATCTTCACAGCAGCCATCTTGAAATAAAATAGCAGGGTAAACGCACTTTTTTTTTTTTTTTCCCCCAATCCACTAAATATATAATTTTATATCCCCCTTTTTAAATGTCTTTCTTCAGTAATTTCTTTAAAATTCAGCTCTTTATTTCTGGTATCTTTCTGTCCTGAAACAACCTCGTTACATGAGATGTAGGCAGGTACCCAGGTGGCTGTAATTGGCTTAATTAGCTGCCACGTACAATGTGTAAATTCTAACACAACCCACCAAGTTCACCAACCTTTTTTCTGTAAAGATGCTCTTAAAATGTTTTATTAATGTCCTGAAATTTAATTAGTGGCATCAGCTCTGTTTTATTTCTAGGCTACACACCCTTAACCACTGTCTGTCTGTGTTTCTTTATTGCAGGCTGCTGCCCCTGTTGCCCATCCGGCTGCACTAAGTGCGCCTCTGGCTGCGTGTGCAAAGGGAAGACGTGCGACACCAGCTGCTGCCAGTGAGGAGTGTGCAGCATCAGCCCTCTGCTGCCCCTGCGATGGCGCCTGTGGGGACCACTTTGAATGATTACTTGCTGTTTATTTTGTACTCGTCTTCAATGTTGAAATAAACGTTATCCTTAAATGCAGATTTGTGAGTCTTGTGTTTGAGTTGCCATGCCTCAGTATAACCTGAGCTGAGGCGTTTGAGTCCGGTGTGCTGATGCAGTGTAAAGTCATCTCAGCAAGGTCACTCTAAAGCTGAAACTCGAGTCCCTGTGACGAGTCCTGATTTCATAAAAATTATTTAACCTGGAAATTCAAGTTCAGCCATGTAAGACACATGATCGTTTCAGTATTGTGTTGTGTTTTTTCTAAAATGCATTTAGCCTATTTATAAAATGCTTTTTGTTAGAGCAGCCAAGTTTCGGGTAACACTCCTAGATCAAATCAAGAGTGTCAAAGTAAAGGCATGAGTAGATGAACTTTGCCTTCCAAGACTTAATTTAAAGGATTTTTACAAGTAAACATACAAACGCTGCCAAGTTGGGAGTAAATGTTTTACTCATCTCTTTAATCATCTAGAATTGTTCTTTGCCGTCCCAGATAACACTGATCTTGTCCCGGTTGATAAGCTGGCTCCAGACAGCACAAGATCAGATCACAGAATTTTAGATTTGTAGTCTTTAGGCCTCCATTGGTTTTAAAGTAATACATTTTATTAACACAGATGGAAAAATATAAATTTATTGGGTAATTGCGCATGATCTGTGTTACTTTAATATGCAAACACTTAATACAATGATTAAATATGTGCCATGTGTGCTACATGTCTCTACATTCATGCTGGATCCACCTTCCCATCCTGATTTTTTTTTTTTTATACTAATCTCCACTTTAGAGTTTCAAAATAAACCAAACAAGCAACATTTGATCTGGATTCTGGGTAGGATTAGATTACCAAATTCCCATCCCAATTTCTTTGTAGGATCAGGATCACGTCACATTTTGTGATATAGTCCTAGCTGGATCAGGGGTGTTTCTGATTGGCCACCCCGAGTACCACCCTGTTATCCTCACCTCTTCCACTCTGCATTGTCTTCCAGAGGCTGCACTCGGCTCTGGTTTAAAGCTAGAGTGAAGATACTGGTATCATATGAAACTAAATGACTGATGACTGATGCTGGCATGCCAGGAAGGGGAGATATATAAATGAAAATGGACTCTATGTGTACCCACAAGTTTTTCCTTTGCAGACATTCTTTCTTTATGCTAATCTCATGCAGTTTTTTTTTTTTTTGCATGCGGTATAAATAAAGTTACTTTCTCCTAGTGTATTTGAATATATTTTTCTGACACAGGTCTAAACAAAACTATTTTTATAATTAGTACAAATAGGTCAGAAGAGTGCTCACATTACAAAACGATAGAATTTGTAGAACACAAATAAATTGTAATAAATATAAAGAAGAGAGGGAACGGCTTATACAAAGGATCAGGATACTGGGGACGACTAGAGAAGGGATAATAGATACGAAGTTATATCACAGGATATTGTCAGGATAGGTTCTTTGTTTTTGTTTTTGTTTTTTTCTTATATTTTGTCATATACAGTCCTATATATTTATCTATATATTCTCTATACAGTTCTCTACATTTATTTTATTTTACTTTTATTCTTATCTCTACTTTCTATATTTAGCTAAGAGTTTATTGTCTATCTTATATATTGTATTTTTTTTTGTAAGCTGCTGGAAATTCAATTTCCTTGAGTGAGTCATCCCAAAGGGATCAATAAAGACAAGTCTAAATACAGCTAACAAAATATTAAAAAACATAAAATATAACATGCATATAAGATAAAACGTTTCTAAATGAAACATAAGAACAGACGTCACATTACAAGGTGGATTTATTTTGAAAATCTCGGCCTCCTGCGGAACTAATAACGCGGAGGGATCGGCAGTAACACAGCGACGTGCCCCGGAAGCGTTGCGTTGTTTGTGTGTTCAGAAACAAATTGAACCGGTACTTTGGTCGTCATGGCGTTTTAACCGCAGTTAGATAGACAACAGGGACATTATTCCACCTCAAAGAGCGTCAACATGCCGAAGGTCGTGTCCAGAAGCGTCGTGTGCTCGGACACCAGAGACCGGGAGGAGTACGACGACGGAGAAAAGCCCCTCCACGTCTACTACTGCCTCTGCGGACAGATGGTTCTGGTGCTGGACTGCCAGCTGGAGAAGCTTCCCATGAGGCCCCGGGACCGAGCCAGGGTGATCGACGCCGCCAAACACGCACACAAGTTCTGCAACGTGGAGGCGGACGAGAACGCGTACCTGAAGAGAGCCGAGGGCATCGAGAGGCAGCACCGCAAGAAGTGCGGCAAGTGCGGCCTGCTGCTCTTCTACCAGCACCAGGAGAAGAACAACCCGGCCACCTTCATCGTGGACGGGGCCGTGGTGAAGTTCGGCCAGGGCTTCGGCAACACCAGCGTGTACAGCCAGAAGCAGCCGGAGGCGCCCAAGAAGGTCCGAGTGATGATGACCAAGCGCACCAAGGACATGGGCAAGTTCAGCTCCGTCACCGTGTCCACCATCGATGAGGAAGAGGAGGAGATCGAGGCCAGGGAGGTGGCGGACTCGTACGCGCAGAACGCCAAGGTGATCGAGAAGCAGCTGGAGAGGAAGGGCATGAGCAAGAGGAGGCTGCAGGAGCTGGCCGAGCTGGAGGCCAAGAAGGCGAAGATGAAGGGCACCCTGATTGATAATCAGTTCAAGTAGTATAGGTGGGGATCGATGAAGAGGAGGGTGTATGGACTGGTACAGGACTGGTGATCTCTCGTGTTCTTGGTTCTTTTTTTTTAATTTTGTTTAAAATGTTATTTTGTACAAAATAAATAAAATAAAAGACCAAATGGGTTTTTTTTAAAAAAGCATTTGTTCTTGGTGTAATCTTCACTGTGGAGGTCAATAATGGGGAATTCATTTAAAGTATTAAAAGGTCCAGTGTGAAACATTGAGGAGGATCTATTGGTAGAATATAATATTCATAGGTATGTTTTCATCCGTGTTTAATCACCTGAATATAAGAATCATTGTGTTTTCGTTACGTTAGAATGAGCTGGTTTTGATTTATAGATGCCGTGGGTCGACAAAACTAAACTTGAGTGCCTCTAAATCTAAATCTAATCCTCCCCACTGGTCCTTTTTTAAAGGTTATTCAGATAGTTAAATCATAGTTGTGTGTGTTGTGTTAACATTAGAGCTCTCTCTTACCCTCAGGTGTGCCTAAACTACAGGTAAACAACTTTAAAGTACAACAGCGTGAATTCGTCGGTTATCTTATTGCTATCAGCCATGAGGGAACAGGTAACGGCTGGTTTTCTGTATCTGATAATTAATCATTTAGGTCATTTATCAAGAAAAAATCGCAACACTTTCTCTGGCCGCATGCTCAAATGTGAAGATCTGCAGCTCTTCTCTGTTTTATATGTTTCTAAATAGAATATTTTTGGGACCGTTTGTAAGATAAATTATTGCAAAACATCGCCCTGTAGCCCCCCGGGAACCTGTGATGAACATTTTTAACAGTTTCTGACATGTTAAAGACAAAACGATTCATCGATTAATGTAATTAATCAATAGTGTAAAATAAACTTTCGTTGCAGCCTTTTAAACAGCAGTACAATCTGGTGACAGTAGACCTTTTATTCACTGTAGGATTTCTGTAGGAAAAGCACTGGTGTGAATAATGAAATGAGTGTTGGATGAATTCCTTTTAGCTGCTTTAGTTTCAGGGTCCTGGTGTTGTTCACGCTGTGCTCACTGTCACACTTTCATGGTTTACTGGGACACGTGAATAGAACCATTGTTAGTGTCATTACAGACGGATGAATCTATGTTACGTGTGTAGAAATAGATCCAGATTTTCATTAATGTCAATAAATTCTATCATTTATTATTTGGAACATTTCTAATGATTTGTGTTTGAGGTTTTTCTGTGTCAGACGGTGATGATGATCGAGAAGATGTAGGCCAGAGTCTAACTGACCTACATTTTTCCATCAGGTCTTTTAATTTGGGTCACACAGATACAGGACAAATTAGGAGAACAATGTGTTTTGTAGACTGGATCACAACTTGGCCACAGCTGACACAAAATTCAAAGTATTTAGAGCTCGGCTTTTTCCTTTCTCACAGAACTTACAACAACCAAATGTAATGTCTGCAGTAATTTTACTGTAGATTGCAGAGAAACACTAACGTTAAAAGTAGTGGTGAAGTTGCAGATCACAACTAACTGAACACTGCTTCAGTGTATATTTGACATACGGCCCAATCTACAGCCAGTGTTTGGTTTGTCTGTTCTGGGCTACTGTAGAAAAACAGCGGTTCAACGTGGTGGACTCCACTGAAGGTGACCCGCAGCATCTGTAGATAAGAAAACGTTCATTCTAAGGGAACAAAAACACAAAGATTTCTTTATTCAGGTGATTATACAGTGATGAAAACGTACTTATGAATATTATATTCCATTTCTGAAAGTAGAGACTCCTCAATGTTACACACTGGACCTTTAATACAGCAGAAATATACAGTCAATATATTGTTTATATATTGTTTACATATTGTTACGGCTGGCTCAAACACCAAACGTAATAATGGACAAAAACCGAATTTTACTGTAATAATTAGCGATGCAGTCAGGTTTTAGGTTAAAGATCTCTGTATTTTCTTTCATGCAAGCATGGATGTGAGGATGTCTGTACAGTACATACTGTATTATATAATGAAGCAGCTCTGGGAGTTTTTTACTCCACAGGACCAGATGTGTCCTAACTAGGCAACAGACTGTAGCCTGGAAGCAGCCATCTGGGCTTTGTGATTAAATCTACACCCAGTGGTTTTTTCCTCTTATGAGGCAACAACAAGGGCGAAAGCAGAGAAGCAGAGGATGTCAGTGCTTTTTAAATTCAGACAGTTGTTCAGCAAAGACACCTAGCAGACTTATCTAGAGACTTTTGTTTTCAGGAGCGATGTGAAAATCAAACTTTAGTGTGTAAAAGAGAGTTAAATGTATTTGATAAAGAGCAAACGGTCTTAGCATTTGGCCTTGATGGAAGAGTTGATTGTGAGATATTAAGTTAAAGTAAAAATGTTTAAGGGAGTTCAATCATTTTTATTTTAAATAAGATTTTCTTGTCCTGCAAGATTGCTTGTTTTTCAGATGAGATACACATAAATATGAGAAACATTTGGGAGAATTTGAAGAGGTATAAGGAACCACTGACCAACAGTCTATACAAAGAGAAACATGTACAGTATTCTATGTATTTGTCCCAAAGCAGATAACATTTTAAAGACAAAATATCTGTTCTTATCTCTATTAAAAAATAATTTTCCCCACTTAATTTAACAAAAATCAGTGAAATATGTAGTTTTATAATATATTATGCTATATTGGGTAAAATAAGAGACATTATTGTGATATATTTTAAGGAATCAAGTAAATGTATATATGTATGTTGTAAAAATGTATTTAAATGAAAGTGTGCAGTTACTTTGAAAAGATAAATAAATTCATAGTTATTTACATACACATACGTGTTTACACCCAGGAAATAATTCTGCAGTGCATCTTTTGTATTGGTGGGAAATGTAAAAAAAAAAAAAGAATGTAAATGTTAAATGATCCGTCATAATTTGCAGTTATAAAGTTAATTCTGGCTACTTTTCAGCTGCGTTGAGAGCAAATTTCAGCTCATGATTCTCATGAGAAATGCCTCAAGACAAACACCAAGACTGTGAAACATGTCTGAGGAAAAACTGACATTTTATTTCTGTCACTGTTCGCGAGCACACACCCGGTGGTCAACAGAGATAAAGTCAGTCTACTCATTTATTAACTTGACTGAACTAAACTCCCTTGACCCCAGTGTGTTTGGTGCTTTGGTGTGCACTCCATAAAGCTGTTATTTCACATGACTTAGTTAACCACAAAGGAGTGAGGCATTGCTGATTCACGTGCTGGCCCTGAGCACTTAAAGGGCAAACGGTTTAACAGCAAAGTTACAATGTGTATGCATGTTAGATTCCCTTGCAAACAGACATTGTGAATGTGTATCCCAACCTTGAAAGGTCATATCATTAACTGAAATAAAAAACTTAAACTGACTCCTAAACTGACTTTAGGAGGGTACAAAAAAGCTAAACTAACTCAAATTAAATAAAAAATATACAACAAAATTCTTCAGTTTTAGTCTAATAGGATCAAATTTCTCAACACACAAAGCGTGAGGAAGCATTTGTGCATATGTTTATTGAGACTGTGAGTCAATGTGTTGTGTTTTAATACCTATTATGAACTTCTTAAAACTTTCCACTGACAAATCCCCACTGATTATAATTAAATCCCCCCCTTATTATAAATAAATAAATAAATAAATAACACCTAAAACTAATACTGAAACTAATAAAAACTTAACTAAAACAAACAAAAAAATAAATTAAAATAAACTGAAACAAGCTGAAACACTCTGGAAAATAACTGAAAGTTGAAAACAAAAGATTAGATCAGATAGATACTTCATTTATCCCGAGGGAAATTCAAGCATCACACAAAATACAAAACATACATTAAACTAAAATTAAAATCCCTCACCTTAAGAATAGAATTAAAAATAAAATAGAAGATAAAATATAAAGCAAACATTAAACATTAAACATACATTAGACTCAAATTAAAATCCCTCACCTTAAGAATAGAATTAAAAATAAAATAGAAGATAAAATATAAAGTATACATTAAACATACATTAGACTAAAATTAAATGTATGTTTAATGTAAACTTTATATTTACAAAATAAAAACTGCTGAAAAATACAAAACTATATAACTCTGTAAAGAACTAATATTATATCAGCCTGTAATTTATAATAAATGTAAAATATATTTAAGCCACCTAAAGTGGTGCTGTAGTTCAGGTTTGACATGCGCAGTGCGTCCTCCCGTCCACATCTTTAGAAACACGCGAAGAAGCGTGACTTCCGGTGCGGGGCAAATAGCTGTCCATGCTTGTCGTACAACAGCGGGGCAAAAGCGAGTAAGGGGCAATAGCTGCAAACACACTCACCCGCAGAACACAGCCAGGTGCGCACTACCACCTGCCCCACACAACAGGTGAGTAGCTCGCCCGCCTCGAGCTGTGTTAGGAGGCTGACAGCCGACGTTAGCCTGTTAGCCTGCGTGCTAACCGTTGAGCGCCATTCATTTGTGTTAGCACGCTGCTAACGCTAAGGAGTTCAGAGCAGCAACTAATCGATATTAGTAGATTTGTTTCGCAGTTAAAGACACGTTTTAACTCAGAGAATAGACACACATTATACATTATTAAAAATAAAAGTTCTCCAGGTTTTAAAAATAATATAAAATAATACAAAAACTACTAAAATAAGCAACTATTAGATTAAATAGAGTTTAAAAATGCAGTTAAAAATAAATATGTGTGCACTATGAACCTCCATCCAGAAGGAAGAAGCTGTAAAGTAAAAATAAATATATATATGTGTGTTATCCAGTGGTTTAAGTGATATATTGTAGTTTGAACATGAGGTTGTTTACATGACTACAAATAGTCCATACTGCTTATTATTATTATTATTATTAATAAAATGTTCAGAGCGTAACGTAATATAAAGTTCAGGTTGTCTCTATACAACACTATTTACCCGTCACGGATATGAATGCTCTCAAAAGTTGTCATTTTGCCATCATAGTCATCGTTTCGTGTCAAATAAAATGTGCTGGAGCGCATGAACTTCACCAAGAAACTTTCCACAGACCTCACGTTGTACTCGACGCTTTAATCTACAACATAACTGCAGTACTAAAAACCACTCTTCCTGTCTTCGTCCAGAGGTATGGATGCAGAGGGGTTCGGGGAGCTGCTGCAGCAAGCGGAGCAGCTGGCTGCCGAGACAGAAGCGGTGTCGGAGCTGCCGCACGTTGAGAGGAACCTCCAGGAGATCCAGCAGGCGGGGGAAAGGCTTCGATCCCGCACCCTGACCCGTACCTCGCAAGATGCTGCAGACGTAAAAGCGTAAGGGATTTGTCCCCTGACACAAGATCATGCCACACAGTCTCTTGTTTCACTATGTTGCTGCTGTAAAGTGATACAGAATTCAAAACAAATCCATCTGCTAGACACTTTCTATGATTTTACTTCTCTTGCATCTTTGTTGTGCTCTTTTTATTCTGACAGTAAGAGATAGTTGGGTGTTTTAAAATTTTGTTTTTTTTATGAAATTATTTGATATGTTTTCCTGAGGTAGACATTGAAGATATCACAATAAACTGCCACACTTATTAAAGAATATATGTAAGACACGGTAAGATAAGTAACATTATTTATGTCTTATTTCGTATTAATGCATTTAAACCTGCGTAATTAGTTTGAACTTCATCTGTAACCAGTGGATAGCACTGCAATAGTAGCAAAGCCTCTTCTGCCCTCTAGTGATTGGCAAGTAAAACTACAGTTCATTGTCGGCCTTGCTCTCAGTGTAGTCCTTCCATTACGTTCATGCAATCTCACCACCTCTCTGTCTCACTCTCAGGTCAATCCTCCTCGGTTCCAGAGGTTTAGACATCTTCCACATTTCTCAGAGGTTGGAAAGTCTAAGTGCGGCCACCACCTTTGAGCCCCTGGAGCCGGTCAAAGACACAGACATACAGGTATGAGTGACCCACTAGGCCAGCTTTGCAGTCACTTACGTAGATTGTTTCACTAGAGGAAGGGGTCGCTCAAGGATTTACAGATATACATTATCACGAGACACCTCAGTAAGTGAGTATATAGATAGGCCTTGACCAATAGGCTTTGTTTTTGTGTACAGTAGAGAAAGGTTATTGTACTAATGAGCAGGTTACAGTGTAATGACTCTCTTTAGCTCTGTTTATGTTCCTGTA